AAGCAAAAATATACCTGAATGCAGTTTTTATGACCTTTTAAAAAATTCATTTGTCATACTTCAAGACTCTTAAAATGAACTAGTAAGGAAGTGAAAAACTGGCAACAGCTACAGGATCTATAAGACATACACTCTCCACTATACATGACCTGCTTATCATATACATTTGTACAAAGGCTGATGGCTTTATCACAAAAGGGGTAGGGATGAGTCCAAACAAATAAATAAATAAAATAGTAATATAGTAGCAACCATTAATGTAATAACCATGTTTGTTTGTTTGTTTGTTAGAGAAACCGTGGTTTTGAAACCATAGTAATGTCTTCACTATAGTGATACTGTAGTATCTGTGATTGCGGTGGTTTAAATACGAATAACATTTACTGCAGTAAAGTCGTAGTTATAATTGTAAGTTATGTTTATGGGGTAGGGGTTCCATGTAGAGTTTTCTTTAGAACACGCACACAATAACTGTGTCGCAGTGATGGCTGTATACAGTATATTAGTATTTGAATTGGGTGCAATATAAGAGTGGGTGCAGTTCTGCCACTATTTGCACCAGCATCTACTATTAGAAATTCTCCCATACGTAGTGCATGATGCTAATATGTTTAAGAGGAAACCCCGCAAGATTTATTTTATTTTAATATTTAAATCAGCAAAGATGATTTCAAGTGATTTTTTTTTGTACATTGTGAGAACTGAATAAGAAGAAAAAAGGCAAGAATCTTGTTAAGACTAAAATAGCTCTTATCACAAATGTTTTATGATACATTTACTTTTAAAATGCCAAGCATTATACAAACAATATTATTACTAATGCATACAAATAGTGAATTATGGAATATTTACAACCCTGTCGATGTGCCATTTGTAGCACCACCTCTGTATTACGTTACTTATGCATTGCAAACCAATCCCTGGGCACCTATGAATGTGGTTTCAGTGACCAGCTCACAATGCCACAATTGTACAATTTGTAATTAAAATGTCTCTGGTGACATATGCCAGTCTGTTCCAGTCAGTTTGTCTGCTTAAACCTCACATTCAGATCTGCCTTCATCCAGACATCAGCAGATGTTCAGATCCAAGTCCCTCAGATGTACATCTGAACATTGGAGGAAAGGTATTTTTGCTGTTCTGTTTCATTGTGACTTTAACTATGTGCTTCACATATTTTCACCACAAAATGTAATACATAACATAACATTAACATATCGCCATATACGGCAATTGATATTATATTTGATAATGCAGAATGTTATGTTTTGCTTGTTAAATAAGCTTTTATTTAGTTTTACTGTTTAAACCATATTTAGTGGTGCTTCATTTGGAAATACCCTGCCCCCTGGTATTTGTTAAATATAGGAGAAACCATGTTTTCTTAGATATTACATGCTGTATGTTGACTGTGATTTGTCCACTTTATTTTACTTTATGTCCACCTTATTTGATCTTTTATTTATATGTATTCATCTAATGTACAGAATGCAATACACACACACACACATATACTTTACATTTCATGTCTGTTCTATTGGTTTGTTTGTTTGTTTTGTTCACAATATAGAAATGTATATTTAGTGTTCACGAAATTCTAATTTAACTCGGTAATTCATGAGTTCATACTTACATATAATTAGATGGAGTACAGTAATGGCCCGAACCCAGAGTAACACCCCCCGTATAAGTGTAGTTAGAACTCGAAGTTAGGAGATGGGGGGGTGGAGGGATGCTGATAAACTGTCAAAGGATAGAGGTAAGTCTGCTGTATTTATACCTCTTGTGTTAATTAGGCTAAGTATCTGATGTGCTCCTCCCAAACTTTGTTAATAAAACATAATTTAAAGACCATACAGTGAGTCACAGGTATTATTTTTTTTTTAACATTCTTACATGGTAGTTCATTTGCATCTTTACGGTCACAGCAGTAATCAGCTTCACTAAGGCTGAATTTAGCTGAAGCTGTTATTTACCAGAGTTAAACTCTGACTGTGTTATTTACCAACCTCACTGTAAATCCTGCAGTCATCAATTTATCTGGCAAAGCATGAACACTAACCAAAACCCAGAAGAGGGATCTCTCAAAGCTACACCAAATATCAAAACATCTGAGAGTTGATGTCGAGTCTTTGATTTGAAGTTGGTGAAGTGGTAAACACAAGAGAAGTAATTGTTGATGGCTCATGATGGGCTAATTGTAGATGTCAGTTAGCAAACATGGTAACCAGATGACCAAACATTAAACCTGGCCCAGATTTCTATATGGAATACATAATAGCTCTATAAATGGACATCCATGCCAGAGTTTTTGTTCTTGCTCAGCATCCTCCAATGAGATTTGAAGGTAATATATAATGGCAAGGCATTCCTGTACGTTTGATCATGTCTTCAACACAACTTGCATACTCCAGGTTTTTATAGTCGTCTACAGAGCCCATATTGTGGACTAGCCTCCATATGCTGTGGTGTCCATGTGGTCCACCTGTGGTTTTCATTTACCCACCATGAACATTTTCACTCGGCCCTCGGCCAGAGCAGCGAGCCTGTTCAACTCCCTTACATCTTTCAGCATGAGCTCCATATTGTGTAAAGAACTGGCATCTGCTTTCAGTGTTTCAGACACTTCAGGGTGTCTGTACATGTGTATGATGAAAGATTTATTGTGCATTAGCTGACAAAGAAACATTCCTAATCATAAAATATCTAAGGCTACCAACTCTTGCCCAGATGTGGGCCAAATGCATGGCCACTGATGCAACACAGTTGGCTTTGTGTGATAAGACACACTTGGAGTCTATGGTGCCTCATCACGTCTGCCGTAAAGCTCTGTCACGACGACCCAAAACAGCTGTGTGACAGAACAGACGTCCCCTGTGCAATTTCCTAGACTTTGTCCACTGCTTGAAGTCTTAATTTTCTACAGCAGCTTGAGACATATCAATGCCATTCCACTGTGATCTACTGTACACATCATTATCATCACAGCAATGAAGCAGCAACTCCAGTTTGATGGGGTTTCTTGAGGACATGCACGTAGATATAGACAAACTTAACTATGATTTATGCGCCATGGAAACCCCTTCCTAATGTCTGTACACCTTTAAACAGGGGTGAAATATAAGAAATAATAATAGTGTCCTTTTTGAGTAGGTCAGGTTTGGATTTGTATATTTTGTTTCTGAGATGAAAAAAACAAACATGAAAATTCTATCATGGCTGACCAATAAATGAAGAAATACAGAAACAAACCAACAAAAAATAAATACACATATTTGTGCATAAATAGTTCTATATAAAAATTGTTAAATGTGCAAGGACAAATACAAATAATTAGATAAAATAAATGCAATAATAATTTAAAACACTAATAAATGCCAGAGGAAATGTTTTGTAGTTCCTAATGAATTATAATACAATTTTAAAAAACGACCTGCCGCTGGATTCACATGCACTGTAGGCCTACTTATTGACTCTATATACAGTAGAGCTGAGCTGGACCACATGCATTACAAATGAAAGCACCTAACATGGCAGCTTTAGGAAAGTAAGTTCTATCTAAAATAAATAAATAAAAATGGCCAGTCACCAAATGGCAAAATCATTGCCTGGTCTTTGGATCAGTTCTTGCTGTGTGATGACAGCATCACTGCAGCTGCTGTTGTTAGCTCCAGATACCACACAAATAGCTGTAAAGTTGTTGACATCATGACATTTCTTACACAGTCTTTGTTCTAAACTGTATATTCGGCATTACTCTCCCCGAGGGTTAGCATGGTAAGCATGCTTCCTGATGCAAGTTGGGGAAAGACTGGAAGTTATTGTAAACACAACCTATTTACAGACAAAAACACAGGTGTGCCCTTACTCCAGGATGTTGCATATAGCCAGAAGAAAGAATCTCTGACTAATTTTAAACTAGATAAACTATCCTTAAACTAGGATTGGAACGGGTGGAAATCAACTGCAGGTAATGCTATGAACTCACTAGCCAATTTGGAGAGTTATTACACTAGTGAGGAGACAATTATTGCTCTTTAAGCCTGTTCTTGCATCTGATAAATGCCGCATATTCAAGACCTTTGTGCATAATTGAATTCAGTACCTGACCTGCCTTTTTTGTTGTTGCTGAAACACCTGGTCAATTTACAGTCTTCAGCTTGTTTATCATTAAACACTCACTGAGAAGTTGGCTATGTTTGGAGTTTACAATGAAATAAAAGCTGTTTTAGCCTTAGAAAAATTGCAACAGGTAAGATTCAGTTTGTGTCACTCCTCTTCTACTCTTTCATTTGTATGATAGCCTACACGCAAACTTTGATTTCTCATAAAACCTGTCATAAAACTGAGTGCGTTCCAATAATTAATAATCAGCTTTTATAATAAATAGATGTAAATCTACGTTGTTTAATCTCTCTCTCTCTCTAAAGTTCTAAATGACCTGCAAATTGGATGATGAGTGAAAAATGTATGGGTCATATAATAACTGAGACATGCCGATGTTCTGTCCAGCAAGAATGACTGATATATAGATGGAGAGTTTTGGTCGTGACCTTGATGACTGGTCACAGCTGTGCGTGTGTTTAGGGAGGGACTGAAGGAGGCAGTAACTTTCCCCCTCCAGCATCACACATCATTTGTATGATAGCCTACACGCAAACTTTGATTTGTCATAAAACCTGTCATAAAACTGAGTGTGTTCCAATAATTAATAATCAGCTTTTATAATAAATAGATGTAAATCTACGTTGTTTAATCTCTCTCTCTCTCTCTCTCTCTCTCTAAAGTTCTAAATGACCTGCAAATTGGATGATGAGTGAAAAATGTATGGGTCATATAATAACTGAGACATGCCGATGTTCTGTCCAGCAAGAATGACTGATATATAGATGGAGAGTTTTGGTCGTGACCTTGATGACTGGTCACAGCTGTGCGTGTGTTTAGGGAGGGACTGAAGGAGGCAGTAACTTTCCCCCTCCAGCATCACACACACACACACACACACACTGACAGGTCGAGTGAAACGCGCGCGTGATTGGAGATTCAAAGCGTCTCTGCGCGTCAGCCGAGCAGCTCTAAAGGTAAGATCTCCTCTCATTTCACTCACTTGCATGTGGTTTCGGTTTCGCGGAGAGAAAAAAAGCAAAAACTTCCAGATTATTTTGAATTACCTGCGGCTTTGTGGTTCAGTTTTTTTCTCCCCCTATTAAAACTTTTCCCTGCGTAATTATAGAGACAGTGCCGCGTCACAGATGTGCGCTTTAGGGAATGCGCGGAGAGGCAGAGATCGAGGAGTTCCCTCGCATAGGTACAGCAGCTGTACACCGCTGCGCCCAGCTCTCTGCTCTAGTTGTTCTGTCACACTGGCGCATGTGTCAGCGAAACGCGCGCGTGATTGGAGATTCAAAGCGTCTCTGCGCGTCAGCCGAGCAGCTCTAAAGGTAAGATCTCCTCTCATTTCACTCACTTGCATGTGGTTTCGGTTTCGCGGAGAAAAAAAGCAAAAACTTCCAGATTATTTTGAATTACCTGCGGCTTTGTGGTTCAGTTTTTTTCTCCCCCTATTAAAACTTTTCCCTGCGTAATTATAGAGACAGTGCCGCGTCACAGATGTGCGCTTTAGGGAATGCGCGGAGAGGCAGAGATCTAGGAGTTCCCTCGCATAGGTACAGCAGCTGTACACCGCTGCGCCCAGCTCTCTGCTCTAGTTGTTCTGTCACACTGGCGCATGTGTCAGCAGCAGCAGTATGTGAGGAATCGCTGTGAGCTTGATCAGGCTTGCATTGAGTGAACGATGCGTGTCTGTGTGTGGAGATGAGAAGGGAAGCTCTGTAGAGACATGTCTGCTGTTTGAGGACTGCAGGAGTTCTCCTGCTGTTCTTTGTTCTTCGGCTCAGAAGCTGTCCTAACCGTCTATATATGTGTCAACATTCATTATTCCCGCATATACAGTAGGCCTAGTTATACAGCATACATGTATACAGTGTCGGAGTGCTAATGTAGGCAGGTATTGCAGGTTTAAATCCAGCCATCATTTCCTGCCCATATACAAAGTGACAAATAAATAATTAAATAAACTACAACCTGCTAACATTACGTTCCTTCAATTGGTTTATTCAATTTGTTATAGAATCAAGTGTGTTTTGTTTAACTTTACATTGGAGCCTTCAAGACATAGACAAACCACTAAGAGGTCATTCATTATATGATAGTTAACTACTAAAAAGTTGATGAAATAATATTTTTTTGCTGATCTGTGTTCTTCCTCATCTCTGGGGGTTGGGGACAGATTGTTTGGAAATAAATTGTATATGACTCAACTTGCACTCGGGTGTGTACATTTTTGTTCAATCAAATGTTGTCAATTAGAATGGCCCTCCCCCTGTTTTGACTTGACTCCCATTAGCAGTAGTAATGACTAAACAACTAAACAAGTATGTGCATCATCCTGCAGCGTTTGTGCTCCAGACATGAATGATTCCTCAGATCAGGTGTGTTGTTGAGGAGAGCATGCTGTGAGCTAAGTGACTTTAATAAGTGATCATGTGCACCATTTCCACCTGCTGGGCAAGAAAACAGGTGAATAATAATAATAATAATAATAATAATAATAAAACAGACGCACAAAGAGAAAGGTGAATTACGTGAAACTGCATAAAAGCACGTTACACCAACAGAATTTCTGCAAATGTTATCCTTACTTGCTGTGCTACTATTTAAAATTCTTGTATTGCCTTGAATAATTTATTAGCTGAATGAGGCTTTTTGCATTTAGTGAATAAACAGACAAATTCAAGTTAACAATACAAAGTTGAGAGAGCTTCTGAATGCATCATTTTAAACTTTCCTCGACAGTTCTTTTTGTTTGACAATGCTCTCCAAATGCAGAAAGAACGATTTTTTTTTTTAAAGATGTCTGGTCACACTTTATATTAGGTCTCTTCAACTATGTAGCTGCCTCAAAAGAAAGTTAGGTACAATGTACTTATCATGTTGTATCATTGTATTGTAAAACATTTGTTCTACTTTTGAGGTGGGATACGGTTAAGGTTGGGGCCAGGTGTGGTGGTGAAGGTGAAGAGATACAGTCAGTTGTCAAAGTAATTATAAATGTAATTACAAAAATGTATTACATATTCACTTACATTGCAGTAAAAAAACAAAAAAAAACAGAAGTATGGTCTTAAAAATGTATATACAAAATAATTCCATTGTATCAAAAGATTCATTTAAATTCTAGTACATAGTACGCTACTTATTACACTTTAAGTTCACATAAGGTTCAGTGTTTTTATTCCTTGTGTTGCTCTGCATTTGCTGCAGTAGTGCTTAGCTGAATGAGTTTACTTGAAAGTAAATCAGTAAAATAAGGATTATGGGATATTAGACTGTTTCTTAGACCAGCACATGATTGTTCAGGAGATTTTTCAGCTCAAGGTACCGGCTTGACCCTGATCTGAAAATGAGCTGTGTTCAGTCTTGTGATTCAGAAAACATTTTAATCTTTTCTTAGTTGTGGTGGTGGAGTTCAGCTACACAACCTTTCATGTTGATGAGTTAATTTATTCATATAATTTTGGATGTTTAGTGATAGATGTACTGGTCATCTGTCCTTCGGTCTGAGACGCTGGGATAGACTCCAGCATCCCTGTGACCCTACAGAGGATAGCAGCTTTGGAGAACAGAGTGATGGATGGATGAATAATGTGTATAGTTTCCTTTGATGAAAAACAGCCCTGACTTCATATATGATGCTTGAATGTGTCTCAGCTTTTCTTTCATGTGTGGACTCCATGTGGTCATTGGTTTGAACTGTCTGCTCATTCTGGGCTTTAAGAAGAGTAGAAGCTCATTGATCTCAAAATTCCTCCCTAATCCGGGTGTTATTGTTACACTGAATGATTATAGCGGGAGAAAAAATAAAACTATAAGTAGTGAAGCCCCTAGGGGGGTAAAACACAACATGAAACATGAGTTCAGTTTGAGTTCACCAAGTTCCTAAATCACCTGTTACAGTGAGGTATGTCATTGTGGCGTTTAATGAGACAGACTCTGCCGGTTTTGGGGCCCAGAAAAGCCTTTGGGCGTCAGAACGTGGTGGGGACAGTGGTGCTGTTAGTGGGAGGGTGTGTCTGAAGTTGTCATGGCAACCAGAAACATTCCATGACTTCCTACAACAGGTTGCCTCAAGAAGCAGAGAAATATACAGTGGAAGCCTCATTTATACTGGTGTACATATTAAGATACCAGCTCATCTTTACCAGTTCTCAGCTGGTTGTGCTGGTTCAAGCCAATCTTTAGAAAAACATGTTAGAGCCCACAACTCAATCCTCAGCAGATAATATTTGTAGCTCAGCATTTTTTCCACATATCTGTCCTGTCAGTTACAGTATGGTTTGGTATACAGTAATGGCTTTTAGTAAATCAGGCCTATAGCTCTGGCAGTGGGGCCTGCAGACGTGTTGAGTTCAGAGACGATGTGTTGGTACCAGCAATGTGGATGCTGCCTGTAATGATGAGATGAGAAATTACTGACCTGCTGTGCTAGCTTTCATTTTGCAGTGGTTAGTCTTTGTTACCCTGAAGTGGTTGGGAGTGTGTGTTGAGCAATTGTTAGCTGCAAAATATTCAGAGAGCATCCTAAAACCAGGGTATAGGCAGAGCTGCCATTAAGAAACCAGTTGTATCCAGGACCAGTGCACAAAAATACACAAAGAATGGAGCACAAAATCTGGATCCCTGAAATAAGGAATTTTAAATAACATGGTCTGATGAGTTATCTTTCATTATATTTCCTGCAACAAGACTGGTTTAGAGGTTTGTACAAAGTCAGTTGATATGGTCTTTACGTGCTAGTCTCATGTGTCTGTAAAGTTATTCATGCTTTTTATTGTCACAATCTGTGATGGCTAGAAACGATGAAGATGAGGAATAAATGAAACAGTCTTTAATCCAAGAAACACAGGATACATGCAACACTGGGAATGGCAGGAAACACATGAACATAACAAGTAGAACCGACTGAGACCGAAAAAAGGGGATGATTGGGGAAACACAGGTGTATGGGATGACTAATCAAACTAATAAACAAAATGAGGACAGGAACATGACCAAATAAGGGAACAGAATCAGGGGCAAAACATGACCCAGACAGTCCATGATCCTGACATTACGCCCCCTCCCGGAAGGTGCGTCCTCGCACCGTAGCAACAACAGAGGGAGGCATGGGTGGAAACTTGGGAGGAGGACGAGGGAGCCCGGTGGAGCTGGTGAATCGATGGGTGACGGTGGAGGTGAGGGAGCTAGGAGCCGAGGTGGAGCCGCTGGGTCTATGGGCTGAGACGGAGTCTGGGCCTCGGAGGCTGGAGGCGGAGGTGAGGGATTCTCCAGCCATGGCAACGCTGGAGGATGGCAGACCCGCGGCACTCACACCGTAATGATGGTAGGCTGAGGGCGAGCAGAGGGGCTGCCAGACGACAGTGGTGGAGGAGGAGAGGGGCTGCCAGACGACAGCGGTGGAGGAGGCAGGAGCGGGTGGGAGGGCGGGCATTTGTGCATCTCCGGGCATTCAGGGCTTAACTCAGGAACGGAAGCCCCCTCTAGGCAGAACACGGGAACAGGCACTCAGGAGGAGCGGACACTTGGGGGTGCTTACGAGGAGCTGGCACTGGAGGGTGCTTTCTAGGAGCGGGCACTGGAAGGCGCTCTGGACTGGATTCGGGGACTGGAGCCCTCTCCTCTTCACTTTGGCACTTTCGCCGCACCATACTCAGCTCACCCTCAGCCGCGGTGCAGGGGGCAGAGCTCCTCTCCATGCTCACACCGTCCGCAGCTTTCTCCCTTGTGGTGGGCATTGTCGCCAGCTTTCGCACCTGGTCTGATGGCTTGGGCTCTACTTCCGGGGTGATCCTCTGCTCAGTCGCTCGGCATTGCGCTGGCTCGTAGATCGCGGCAGGAATTGGATCTTCGTCATCGGTGGGCTTGGGCTTTAGCTCCGCACAGCGGGGAGATGGTGGGCTGGGCTCTGGGTCCGGAGTGGATCTGGCAAGATCATCCTCGGGAGTGACGATGAGAAGCGATCCGTTTCTCACCAGAATCCACTCCACAAATGCGGTGAAATCCGCTCGAGGACCATCTTCGGACGACGGCGCTCTGTACACGGTGTTTAAACTGGCGTCGCAGAATGCACAGAGCGCGTCGTCTGGGTAGCTGGTGGTGCTTGCTAGCAGCTGGAACAGTCTTGTATGGTCCTCGAGCAATCTCTCCCCCTGCTCCAGCAGGAGGAGGAGAAATTCCGGGCGAAGGAGGGCATCCATGAGAGAAACACAACGGAAACAAAAACACTGAGAAAAACGAGAAAACAAACGGAGGGGAAAACAAGGAGGTAACTGTTTTTGGTCAGTTCTTCTGTCACAATCTGTGATGGCTAGGAATGATGGAGACAAGGAATAAACGAAACAGTCTTTAGTCTAAGAAACACAGGGTACATCCAACACTGGGAACAGCAGGAAACACATGAACATAACAAGAAGAACAGACCGAGACAGCAGACTGCACAGACTAGGACTTAAATACAGGGGATGATTGGGGAAAACAAAGGTGTATGGGATGACTAATAAAACTAATAAACAAAACGAGGACAGGAGCATGACCAAATAAGGGAACAGAAACAGGGGCAAAACATGACACAGACAGTCCATGATCCTGACATTTATTCTGTATGTTTACAGGAAGCAATACAGAGGCTTAAGAGAACATTTGACCAGATTTACACTCCTGCTATGGAGCTCAAGATGAGTAAAGCAACTCTCACTGCTGTCTTTATAGGTAGGTTTGTGTGTTTATTTATTTATTTATATATTTTTTCATTTAATAATTGTGTTTGTGTTTTCATTAAATTTTTTTCTTCCCTATATGCATTCAAATATTTTTTTCCTATATGCATTTGCTGATTCTTCACTAAATTAACTTTGGATGAACAGACATCCTGAATTATTCATGACAGTCCTGGCTGACTAACACATTCAGCGTTCTTCAAGCTATCATGTATGGTATCATTTCTCAGTAGGATGATACTGGACGGCTGTTTCTTTACCACTGCAGGTTGGGACTAAATGTTTAGCAGTAAGAGTGATATTATTCTTGTATATATTTCTTTAATGACTAACCAGATGGTCTTTAAAGATGTAATTTCTTGGTTTTCAAATAGAATGTTTATAGCATTTATAGTTACTTTTGTTGTTGAAATTCATGGACATGCCCTAACTTATATAAAGTTATTATGGCAAATTTTGGTTGAAAAGCAATGCACATGTGAGATTGTGAGAGAAAGAGAGAGGGGTGGGGTGGGGGGAGAAAACACACTTTCCATAGATAATTAAGTGGGGAAACCATGGAAATATTTTTTTGTCGTATTTTTGTCCTATTGTTAGTCATATTTCTTTGTATGATCAGTGCCTTTGTTGGTTTTGGTTCATTTGCTGTTGTATGGACTTTGAAATAACTGAAATTCATTGGTGATGATATGACTGCCTCATAGTTGCGCATTTACTGACACATAATTACACACCTTGGAACGTTCATCAGCCAATTAGAATCAAGAATTCAGTCAACTGTAGATGGAAGCTTGCGCCATATATTCAGTTTAGTAACAGATCAATGAGTGTGCAACAGTTGTAGTAATTGGACAGCCTACATTTAAGTTTAAATAACACGTTTAAAAAAGTGTTAATTTTAGAGATGTACGGCCCTTGCACATGTCTGCAATTTTACTGCTACTTTGAGTTCTTGCATTACTCTAGGAATAGTCGTATTGCTGTCTTATTTGCATTTAGGGACTGTAAAAAACCTGGATTATGCTGTCTCGTAATTTGCATTTGTATTATGTTCTGTATGACCTATGTTCCTAGCATTTCTACTGACTTCCAGTGGAGCAAAGCCAAATGGAAAGAACAAAAAGCCAAAACAAGGTAGCTGCAATACATATGTTGATAGTAATATGCATGTTTGAGACATGTGCGACTAAATTATGTTCTTCTGACATTGCCTCTGCTTTTCCAGCTGTGCCATCAATAGAATGTGATATGCGGGCTGGGAAGATCAATCTCTCAGAGTTTATTGTTAAGTGTCCAGCTAACTGCAGGGAGACCAAGGAGAAAGTGTATGGGACAGGTGTATTTGCCTCCATATCCAGTATCTGCAATGCTGCCATTCACAGGTGAGCTCAACCAGTTTGCAGTCTGTGAGATCCGGTGTTCACCTGGTGTTAAAAGGGCCTTTCGCATCGCAGGAACCTTTTCATAGTACCAGAACTAATTGTGGAACTACCCACTTTTCGGCGTGTTCGCACCGCCGAAACTGGGAACGATTTTAGTACTGGACTGCCTTTTTCGAGGACCAAATTAGCTCCTACTCCAGAGCAGGGTCTAACCAGCACAACTGGTACTATTCGTGACGTAAGTAGACATTGATTGGCCAAACACGTATGAAAACGCCCTCACCCGCCATGATTTAAAACGCAGTGTAAACACCCACTTTTCGGCGTGTTCGCACTGCCGGAACTGGGAACGATTTTAGTACTGGACTGCCTTTTTCGAGGACCAAATTAGCTCCTACTCCAGAGCAGGGTCTAACCAGCACAACTGGTACTATTCGTGACGTAAGTAGACATTGATTGGCCAAACACGTATGAAAACGCCCTCACCCGCCATGATTTAAAACGCAGTGTAAACATACTGTAAGCATGTCAACTTATTTCACAAGTATAGAGAGCAGCGATAGATGGACGGACACTGAAGTGCAGGCACTTGTAGCAAATGTAGCACTGCCAGTTGTCGTTGGAGATTCTTAGTCCTCCTTTCCGTTCTTTCAATCGCTTTACGTATACGTCGACTTTCCATGTCCACTGTGAAACCCGCGAAATAACAAAAACACAGCTCCGATCACAGCGTCCTCCATCCTCCTGTTGTTAATGTTGTTCTTTGTTTACATTGTTGAATGCTACACACAAATGACGTCGCTGTCGACCGGCTTACGTCATTTCTTAGAACACACTGTCAGTGCGAATGCAACCCTTTAAATGGTACTGGGAAATAGTTCACGCAAAATCGTCCCAGTACTTTAGTACCGTACGTTTAGTTCTGGAACTAAAGCGGTGCGAAAGGGCCTAATGTATGATCAGTAGGACAAATTAAAATATTATGCAAAAGCTTGAGCTCTCTTAATGAAATCACAAGTTGCTAATCTAATTGAAAAGAAATTTGCAAAAATGTACACTTAGCAAACATTGTTATCCCACATGACACCAGCTCTTGCACCTGCAGAAGTTCTTGCAACTCCCGTTGATCTTTGTAGTTATTGGGGTGTGACAAGCAGCTTCTTCAGTGATTTTTCATAACATTTTAGTAGTCAAAAAGTGTGGGAAACCTGTATATGATGCTATGGATCTACCTCAGGAAGGGAGAAGATGGCTTTAGAGACCTTTCACAGCCTTCCTTGCTTTGTGAACATCTGTCATCTGTAGCATCTGATCGTCAGTCATCTGTTTCATGGTTGTTAAGTGTAAACACATCATCCTGAGAGGTTTAGAGAGTAGGAGAATTTAGATGAAGGCCTCATGGGTCAAGTTCTGACCCTATAAAACTTGATAAATGATTAGAATAACATGGGTGGATCAAAGGGAAAGCTGAACAAAATGTGTGTGCCTCTTCAACAAATAATGTCGGCTGAGGAGGTTGTGTTAGTTTATCAATTGCTATGGTGTATCAGTCAGTGCACATGTGGGAGATATACAGTGGGGAAAATATTTATTTGATCCCCTGCTGATTTTGTAAGTTTGCCCACTTACAAAGAAATTAAGGGTCTTAAAATTTTTATGGTAGGTTTATTTTAACAGATAGAGACAGAATATCAACCAAAAAATCCAGAAAAAAGCACATTATATAAAGATTAGAAATTGATTTGCATTTCAGTCAGTGAAATAAGTATTTGATCCTCTACCAACCAGCAGGAATTCTGGCTCCCACAGATTGGTTATGTGCCCATGTGGAACACAGATTAGTCCCGCCACTTTAAGAAGATACTCCTAATGTCAGCTCGTTAGGTGTATAAGACACCTGTCCACACAATCTGTATCTTCCATTCCAACCTCTCCCACCACCATGACCAAAGAGCTGTTAAAGCATGTCAGAGACAAGATTGTAGATCTGCACAAGGCTTGAATGCTTGGACTACAAGACCATCAGCAAGACCAGAAGCTTGTTGAGAAGGAAACAACTGTTGGTGCGATTATAAATGGAAGAAATGCAAAACAACTATCAATCTGCCTCGGCCTGGAGCTCTGTGCAAGATCTCGCCTCATGGGGTAAGGATGATCATGAGAAAGGTGAGGGATCAGTCCCAAACTACACAGGAGGAGCTTGTTAATGATCTTAAGGCAGTTGGGACCACGGTCACCAAGCAAACCAATGGTAACACACTACGCCGCAGTGGACTGAAATCCTGCAGCGCCCGCAAGGTCCACCTGCTCAAGAAGGCACATGTACAGGCCTGTTTAAAGTATGGCCAAGAACATCTAAATGATTCAGAGAAAACTTGGGAGAAAGTGCTGTGGTCAGATGAGACCAAAATTGAGCTCTTTGGCATTAACTCGACTCGCCGTGTTTGGAGGGAGAGAAATGCTGACTATGACCCCAAGAACACCATCCCTACAGTCAAGCACGGAGGTGGAAACATTATGCTTTGGTGCTGTTTTTACAGGGTACAGGACGACTTCACCGCATTGAGGGACAAATGGACAGGGCCATGTACTGTAAAATCTGGGATGAGAATCTCCTTCCCTCAGCCAGAACACTGAAGATGGGTCATGGGTGGGTCTTCCAGCATGACAATGACCCGAAACATACCGCCAAGGCAACAAAGGAGTGGCTCAAGAAGAAGCACATTAAGGTCATGGAGTGGCCTAGCCAGTCTCCAGACCTCAATCCTATAGAAAATCTGTGGAGAGAGTTGAAACTTTGAGTTGCCAAATGACAGTCAAGAAACCTCAAGGATTTAGAGAGGATCTGTAAAGAGGAGTGGATCAAAATCCCTCCTGAGATGTGTGCAAACCTGGTGACCAACTACAAGAAACGTCTTACCTCTGTGCTTGCCAACAAGGGTTTCTGCACCAAGTACTAAGTCATGTTTTGCTTGAGGATCACATACTTATTTCACTCACTGAAATGCAAATCAATTTCTAACCTTTTATATAATGTGTTTTTTTTCTGGATTTTTTTGTTGATATTCTGTCTCTATACATTAAAATAAACCTACCATAAAAATAACAGACCCTTAATTTCTTTGTAAATGGGCAAACTTACAAAATCAGCAGGGGATCAAATAAATATTTTCCCCACTGTATGCAGCCAGTAAAAGGCAGATGGCATGCATTTTGTTTGGATTATATTCTTATTCCATAGACCGCCCACAGAAGTGATCAGCCTATTTTTGCCATTGGATCTTGGTCAAATTTATGTTACATAATCTCAGCTGAATTGATTCAGCCAATGCACAACATAGCTTTTTTTTTACTCAATATTCATTCTAAGCTATTAAAGCTACCCAAATCAATACAGATCCCTTAGATAAATACACCTCACATTCATGGTGTTTTTGCTGTTATTTTGTTGTCAGTGGAGTCATCACTAACTCTGGAGGAAAGGTAATTGTGATGAAGATGGCAGGACAGGCGTTCTACAAGGGTAGCTTTGCCAACGGTGTCCGCTCTCTATCCTTACCCAACTGGAGAGAATCCTTTTCTGTCTCAGGTAATGCAGACCTTACTTTGAACAAGCACTGTTGGAAAACACCTATATGTATTGGCAAACAGGCTCTGTATAGCAAATAAATAGAAAAGAGAAATATGCCAACAGAAAATGAACTCTTTCCCCGCCAGCATTTTTTAAAAAAGCAGCCAGCCACCGCCAGCATTTTTGATAATTATTTCAAATATTTCAAGGCCCCCATAATATTTTGTTGTATGAAAATCTGAACATGCAATACATCAAAATAAAGAACAGAGCCTCTACTTTTAAACAAACAACAACAATTTTTTTTTTATTCTAGCTTCAAGATTTATTTTTTTATCAACAATTGAATGTATATAAGTTACATTAACATTTTGAACAAAAAAGCTGAGAAAATCATATTTTTATCAAATACTACATCTGGATCATATTCAGTATGATGATCAAAGCAAAGATGCAGTAGATTGCTTCCATCAGCACTCCCAAAGCTTGCACAGTCCTTTACCACTTCCTGGGTCGACATTTCCCTCGGTAACATCAGTCAGTTTTCATTTATATGTAGCTTATTATTGATGATTCCATTATTTTTCATATGCATTTTCTTATGAGATTGCTCCTTTCGTGCAAGGTCTTCCTCGCCTGTGTTTTTGATAGAGAGATTCTGGACTCACTCAGGAGCTGCATAATAGCGCCCCGGAGTGTATAACAGTGAAAACCTGGAAAATTTGTTTTTGGCGGGGAAGCATTGTATTATAAATAACTGAAAATTCTGTGTTTGGCAGGGAAAGAGTTAAGACAGTAATTTCACATGACGAGTACTTTCTCACATGCTTAATTTTTTTTTTTTTTTTTAATGGATTTATAACTTTTGGTTCTGTGTGTCAGTGGGTAAACCAAAGAAGGGGGTGACCTACCCATCCACTCTGGTCTTTGTACCCTCAAGACCCACCACAGTGAAAACAGGTAAGTGGTTTTAGCCGACTGGTAATACTCATATGTGTGTTGTTATGTCATTAAACCTTTCCTCTAACTTAAACAGTAATGTTTGGCACTAACAATGCCCAGATCATGGGTTTGATTTTCCAGGGAATGTATAATAGCTGAGCAAGGGCGAACTTAACCAATAAGCGAGGTAAACAAAATAGTGTGCCGTTCTCCTCTGGCCAGATGGGATCTGTCTCTGGGACTCATCTAGTTGACATGGTCTCTGCTGACATTCAGGGCTGTCGTAAAAGAGCATCTAGTTTTAGTGTAGGGGCCCCATACCTGAAATTTTCTTCGGGCCCCCAAATCACTAAGTCCGCCCCTGTAGCTGAGTAGACAAGGCAAGATCCAGCTAGTGTGAGATTCTACCAGGGTCAAACTTCAATCTTAATTGAAGAAAAATGGAATGCATGCTTAAGGATCTCTGTCTGACAAACACTGTGATTAAAGCCACTCACAGCAGGGCCTAGAATAATGTGGATCCATGTTCAGAATCTTCTGGTAAACCAGTAGCAGCTCATCATCTATTCACGTTTCCTTGATCCCAAGGTAATCTCAAAGACCTACCGTACTCCACAGCGTCGCCTGTGACAGAGGCTCTAGAGACGGAGCCGAGCTCTACTACAGCTCTGCCCACAACCACTCATGTGACCACACCCATCACCACATCAGCCAAGCCACGGGTCACTGTTCATAAAGTCCGCGAGGCAGGTGAGCCAGTCTTTTACAGATCTGAATAAATCTTAATTGAAATGAATGAATCATTGTTTATTACAGTAAATTCAATGCAATGCTTTTATCCATTTGTTCTTGGGTCAGTTTTTCAGCACCCTATTGAAATGAGCATCCTGTCTGGACGATATGGATCAGGTTCCCTCTCTATCCATCCTCTTTCCTTTCTCTGTTTCTAAAGCAACCTCTTTCTTTCTGATCTAGGCAGCAGTCACCCGTATTTCAGCTCTGTTGCACGTAAGTCAAGCAGGCATGTTGAATCTCCCTCACGTGGCACTCCTTGTGTCTGCTGTCATATAATTTTATTAAGGCCTTCTGGGTGTGTTTTTAGTGGTTTACAGAACTAACGGTCTCTTGCAGCGTTCCTTTGGTTCTTTGTTTTCATAGCAACTGTCTGTGTCTTTTGGGGTGTAGATGGTTTTGGCCCATGAAAAGTCGGCATTAAACAGCATTTCACTTCAAAAATATGATGTTTTTTGAAAGATATTCAATGAAAATTCTTCTTTGGAGTACCAGTTGTTTCAAAGGCAGAACTTATTACTATATTTTGATGAAGTTAAGATATTTTTCTTTAGACTAACATGCACAGATGAGTCCTGCTTAGTAAGACCAGGATTTTACAGTGCCTTTGGAAAGTATTCATACCCTTTCATTTTTTCACGTTTTGTTATATTGCTGCCTTATGCTAAACTGCTTTAAATTACTTTTTTTCCCACATCAATCTATACTCCATACACCATAATGGTAGAGCAAAAAGAGCCTCCTGACCAAACTGAGCAACTGATGGAGAAGGGCTTTGGTTAATGTGGTGACCAAGAACCTGATGGTCACTCTAGTTGAGCTCCATGATCATATGTGGAGATAGTTGAAAACTACAGAAGGACAAACACCACTGCAACACTCCATTGATTTGGGCTTTATGGCGGTGTGGCAAGACTCAATCCTCTCCTCAGTGAAGACACATGAAAACACACTTAGAATTTGACAAAAAGCAACTAAAGGACCCTCGGACTGTGAAAAATAATATTCTCTGGTCTGATGAACCTCAATTCCAAGCATCATGTTTGAAGGAAACCAGCTCTGCTCATCACCTGCAGAGTACCATCCCAAAAGTGAAGTGTGCTGGTCGCAGCCTCATGCTGTGGGGCTGTTTTTCAGCGGCAGGGACCGAGGAACTTGTCAGAATAGAAGAAAAGCTCAATGCACCAAAATAATGAGATGGTCTTAATGAAAACCAGTCCAGAGCATTCAGAACCTCAGACTGGGCAGAAGGTTTACCTTCCAACAGGACAATGGACCTATGCACACAGCAAGAGTTGCTTATAGACAACTCTGTGAATGTCCTTGAGTGGCCCAGCCAGAGCCTGAGCTTGAACCCAATCAAATATTTCTGGAGAAACCTGAAAATGTGCATCTGCTCCCTTCCAACCTGACAGAGCTTGAGAGGTGAAGAGATGGCAGATAATTGTCAAATGCCGATGAGCAAAGCTTGTCGCATCAAACAAAAAAGACTTGAGGCTGTAAAGGTGCTTCAGCTAAATATTTAGGTATAAATACTTATGCAATGTACTTATTACAGTTATTTTTTTTTGTATTCATTTACGAAGTTGTGACAATTCTGTTTTTGCTTTGTCAGTATGGTGTGTAGACTGATGTGGAAAAACGTACATTTAAGCAGTTTAACATAAGGAAGCAACATAACAAAACGTGAAAAAAATGAAAAGGTATGAATACTTTCGCAAGGCGCTGTATATTGACTTTAAAGTTGCTGTTACAGTAAAAAGAAACAGGGAATATATCAGTGCTTCAATATTTGTTTTTTCTAAATACTGCATGCAGGACAGTCACAGAGCACCCAAGGAAAGGGTCCTGCGCAAGGTATGTTCATGCTTTGACACTGTCTGTAGTCCTCACTTCCTCTGTCAGTAACACAAGCCCTAAACTCTAACTATAACATTTGTCTACAGCATTTAGAGGCAGCTCCGTCTATGCCAATAGGTTTTCACCCCGCACAAACACAGGTAAACCACACTCCTATTACTCTGACTGTTTGTCCTGTCTTGTGATGCTTACCTGTTGTCTTTAATTTTCTTTGTACTCTAGGAACAGGTATATTGTTTGGTATTTTGATATATTGCTGGTGATTGTTTGTGTCCTGAGCTAGATGAGTGTTGATCTCACTTGCTGTTTTCCTCCAAAATTCCCAGCTATCTCTCTCTTGTATACGTTTGTCTCTTTAATCCAAATATGTAACTGTTTCAAAATCTGTATATGTCACGCTTCCTTACGCAAGCTGGTGGCGCTATGACTGTGAACCACGATAGCCACATTCATCCAATTTGATCTAAAACGGACACTTTGTTTCCCATTTTTGTCATTAATTTAATTCCTCACCATGGCAACACTGGTTGAGATCAAAAATCAGTTCACAATTTAACACCTTCAGTGTCTTGGCATCATGTTTACCAAGTTTGGTGAGAATCACATGAATCTGTTTGAGTAGTATTTAAAAATTCAGCGCTAATGACTGAAATTTAGAAAGTCTCCACAGAGCCTCTACTCCATGCCCTTTTGTATGCCCATCCCTGTTGAAAAAAACCAGCATATGCTGGTTAGGTATGTTTTGACGCTGGGATGCTGGTCCTTTGCTGGTTTAAACTGGTCCTTTGCCGGTTTATGCTGGTCCTTTTGCTGGTTTATGCTGGTCATGTGCTGGCAAAGGACCAGTATAAACCAGCAAAAGGACCAGCATAAACCGGCAAAGGACCAGTTTAAACCAGCAAAGGACCAGCATCCCAGCGTCAAAACATACCTAACCAGCATATGCTGTTTTTTTTTTTCAACAGGGATGTCTAACAGTGCATGCAGAAGATATGAGACTCTTCCTGCCATCAAGCTATTTCCTCACCATGATCAAACCGTTTGAAATATAAAAATCTGCCCACAATTTAATTTCTTCACACAAATGGAGGAATTTATTTTTCTAGGGTAGACCGCACAGTAATCTACCCGGTTATTGACTCCTTACCAGAAACTCTCGATGTGAATTGTCCTGTCTTCCGTCTTTTTCGGTCTTCATGGTTACCTTTTGCACTGTTTGTGTATGCTGTGCCTGCGAAATAGAAAGCCTATTACCATCTGAGCTAAGTTTGATGAAATTCTCTGAACTCATTGACTTACCTGTTCACATGGCTTGTTCCACGCATTATAAGCCTCTGTTGTGGAAATCAGTGTATCCTCTTCTGTTGGTGACAATATAATTCCTGTTTTGCACAATTAATAGTTGAAGACAAGGAGCACTTAACAGCTTTCCCCAAAGACAGAACATGCTGTTTTGCATACAGTATAAGAAAGGCACAGTCCTTGGTATATCACATTGATAGATCAGCTCAGACTTTCTATTGTTAATTTAGATGTATTGTGTTCTTTCAGTGAGGTGCAGCTTTACATGTGACTTGTCTTGAATGTGTTTGCATTTTGACGGCAGGTGTGCACAGGCCAGAGACGGGCAGCATGATCCGAAGACAGCCGCATGTTTCCTCCGCTTCAGGTTCGCATGACTCATTCGTTCAATTCAGACATCACTCAGTAGCAGCTGCGATGCAGGCTTGAACTCTTGGATATTTGTATCACATCTGTTTCACATTAAGCAGCTTTCAGTCGGGTGCAGCCGCAGTCTGAGAGGAAGCAGCACATGGCACAGTCTAATCCCGGTAAGTATCTGCAGATGCCATCTATTAGCATGTGCGTGCCTTTGCATGTGTACACATCAAACAACACAAGTGACAGTCCAATGCTCTTTTTGCATCAGAGGGGATCAGGTAAAGCTTTGTCTGAAATTAGCACCTTTAGACATAGCAAGGCTTTAGCTAAGCAAGTAAACATGTTTAAATGATACTTGACAGTAAATAAATATTGAGGACATCTTGTACATCACTGCAGTGACATCAGGTAAGTTAAAGACTAGTAATAAATTGGATACTAAGTGTAAGGCAACTCCGATAAGTGACAACACCATGCACTTGCATACTGTCATTTGGGGTCATGAACTGAGAAATCAAAATTTCCTTTTTAATATATAAGAGGTCATTGTGCTATAAAAACTATATAAATTATAAAAATGTTTCTCGTTAGTCTAAAAACAGCTTATATTGACAGCTTACAGGTCTATGCAGAAACCAAACGATAAACTTTATTTGATGAACTTTATTTTTAACGAAGTGCCAGACCACATCACTATGAACTCGGTCCTTTGTTCACTTCATTTTACTGCGGATTCGTTTACAAACAAGGCACAATTCAATGCAGGATTTTCAGAAAGATTGAAAATGAAAGACGATGCTGTGCCACTATATTGGATCTGACAGTAATGTCGCAACGCACAAGTGTGAGTAACTATTGCTTTGTCTGTTATTACAGATCGTTTGATATGTAATGAGTATTTATGCGTCCATATGTGAAGGATGTAGGCTGTCAAACATACACCACTGTTAGCCAATCACAGCAGTCTACCATCCTCCGCATCTGTTCAAACAGCGCATTCTGAAGAGGGAGGTCAAAGCAGGACAAAAAATTTGCCTATTGCTTTTAAGTTATTATGCTTTTTGATTAAAAAAAAGTTAAAATCTTGATAACATTATTAGTGGACCTCAGAGAACAATACAAAATAAAAAAAACAGAGGCAGTTCATGAGCTCTTTAAGGCGTGAACGAGGCTCATATGCTCCTCACAGATTCTTGAAACATATCTCAGACACAAAATATACAATGCTTTTATACAACAGTTCAATAAACAGGAAATTGTTTAAATAGTTTTTAGGCACAATATCGCCACTTACTTTGTCTAATTATGCTCCACTGCCAATTAAACCAATACTGTCGAACAAAGTCAAAGTCGAATCGACATCATTATTTATAAAGCTGTTTGTACAATACAAATTGTGTCAAAGCAGCTTTACAGTGTTAAACAGAAAAATTGTATGTTGATAATGCAAGAGGACAATACACACAGTTATGGTGTTTATTTCTAAATAATTCCATGTTTTTGAACAAATCGGTTAAGTGAATGATTCATTGACTCACTCGCCTGCAGAAAGAATCACTGTAAAATCCCCTGACAGATGCACAGAACCACAGTGAAAAATCCCAGTGCTGATGTTTTTGAGTTTTATTGTGTTAGTTGGCTGTTTTTTTTTAGTTATTTGTTAGCTTAATCAAAATAACCCAACTGCAGTTTGATTGAGATTAATTGGAATGCACAATGAAAAAGCATGATTCCTAAGAATTGTTAAAAACGGAGTTATCTGTTTTTGCAAATGAACTCTTCATATATAGTATATATGTATGTTAAGATAAGTTTTGATCTAGATATAAAATGTTACTTTTATTTTAATTAGATAAAATTAGCAGATGTCCCAGTGCTGATGTTTTTGAGTTTTATTGTGTTAGTTGGCTGTTTTTTTTAGTTATTTGTTAGCTTAATCAAAATAACCCAACTGCAGTTTGATTGAGATTAATTGGAATGCACAATGAAAAAGCATGATTCCTAAGAATTGTTAAAAACGGAGTTATCTGTTTTTGCAAATGAACTCTTCATATATAGTATATATGTATGTTAAGATAAGTTTTGATCTAGATATAAAATGTTACTTTTATTTTAATTAGATAAAATTAGCAGATAGCAAAATATGAAAATAAATAAAATGGCTGATGCCATTAATGCCTGTGATATGCAAAGTGATTATTTTATCAGAAGTGGAGTTGACATCATAGTTGGCATGACAGAACACATTGTTTTTCTTTAATTTGACAGTAAATGATCTCTAAACCTCTAAACATGATTAACAGATTAATATGAAATATTTCCTTGCTACATAAACATCTAAAAGTCCATTTGATGTCTTGAAGTAATGTATTTTAAATAGTTTTTCAATCTCGCTATCTAGCACTTGCAAGAAGAGATTGGCCGCACCCTCCGTACACACGACCTGATGGGTTCTCTGGCACCAGAAGACCAACAGGTATCATTATGCAGGTCTCATCATCCAGTTCAATAACATAACCCTCCATAAGTGAGCAATAAACAAGACATAAACATAGATTAAATATCCTTTTAAATTCCAATTGAATATCCATAAACACTTCATAATTCATGCTAATTGAAATCTGATATTAGGCCCTACCATCACTTTCTGTGTTCAGATAGTAGCCACTCTGTGCCAAACACAGGCTATAAATGGAGCAGGATGAGTACTGGTGACCCCGCAGGTAAAGATTTCATACACGGATGTTATATGTCTACGGTTGTACCAGAGGAGAATATATATATATAAACCACATAAATCTGAAATATGCCTTCATAGTATGCATAGCACATGTCTGTTTTTGATATCACCATAGCGTCATATCAATGTACACAGGTTCCTGCTACTCGTTTTCACACTGCATTTACTTGCTTCACGTGGTTTAAATAAGCCATGCCACTAGTTTTCAAGTTTAGAAGTCCATGCCAATGTGCGACCCATATGACATCAAAAACATTCAGAGCAGCATGCATTTCTGCTGGAGCAATATGACTTTAACTTCATCAAGCATGTGTAAGAATAGGTGGTAATCTACAGGTTTTGTACTCCTCTTTACAGCTTTTGATTGTTTGGCTTTTTTTTCACACGGGCATTATGGGTATATCTTCCATAATGCACTATGCTGAACTAACTGTTCCTGCAAATGCTGCCTCTATTCTGCAGCTCTTGACCCAAGGCCTGATAACACAGAGTATGAGCACTGGCTGTATAACTTTGGACAGTATTGTAAGTATTCTCATTTTATTTTGGAACAATACATGTATGCCAAAAAGTCTATGCAATGAGTATGTTATGCATGTGTTATAACACATGTTCCGTATGAACATGGCTCTCTGCGAGGGTTTCCAACTGAAATAACATTGTAACCTTGCCTAAGCTTCTTAGCTGGTTTAAGCTGGTCTCCCAACATGGTCAAGATGGTCTGGTCTAATGGGTCTCTCTGCCTGAATTATGGTGGGAAGCTTCCATTAAGTAAGTGATGGCAGTGAGCAGTGTGTGGACCGCACACTCCATATAACTACAACGTCTGTCCCCGTGTCTGGATTCAAAAGAGACTTTGTTGGGAGCCTCAGCCATGCTGTTAATGCTGCTGGACTCTGGTTTGTACCACAGGGTCAGAAATCCAGGGTCAGTTGATATTTGAGTTATCCAGTAAAAAAAAACGCCCCTGTCCCTGCCTGGTCCAAATTTCCTTTCATAAACATTTAGCTAGATAGCTTATTTAAATAAGTTCGATTATTTATGTTACATCATTGCTAATAATACATGCATTTATATAATGTGGCCTGTACCAAAAAGGGTATCTGTACTCATCTAGTAAATGCTATAATACAAATCATGCCTGGATTAACGAGAAGAAACGTATACGCATTTGCCAGTCCCCCAGCTTTACTGCATATTTATTCAAAACATCAGTCATCATGGCTGTGAAATCGGAGTTGTGGGCACAGCTCCAGTGAGTATGTTACTGGTTGTGTAACTGTAGTGAGGAGGGGTCACCATCACTGTGAGCCACTGTGTCTTTGTGAAACTGAAGGCCTGATTCGTGTGTACATGATTTCTGTTTTCAGCTCCTGCGCCAGAAGAACACAAGCCTCCATCTGAGACAAGTCAGACCAGAGGTGTGTCAAAGGCACAAGCACGTTTGTATATTAAAGCACAAAGTGCACAATATTGTTATATACTCCTGCTTAAGAAGCTATGACCGAATACATGATTTTTAATTTAGTTGATTAATACATTTTTTTTTTTAAAGATTGCATGATGTATGTTAATTAGTCGCTTGCTGGGTCAAACCCGTTCGAGTCCGGTGAGACATCTAACTTTTTTTTTTTTTTTTGCCACATGGGTTCATTTGGAAAATGTGCCTATATGAACATTTTTGCAAAACTCCCAAAACATACCTATACATACAATTCACTGCATTTTCCCATTGAAATGAACACTAGTAGCAGTAAAACACCAACACTTTTCTTCTGATTCTTCTTCACCTGTGTTTGATCCAGAGATTTAGCATTCGTTCAGAAAATGTGTATTAGCGCCTCCTACAATAAAATGGTGAAAGCACAGAAAGCTGGAAAATTCTTTCAATGGCTGGGAAAGAGTTAATAAAGACTTATTTTCATGTGGTTCCTTGCACAATACTGTGTCATTTGTCTGTGTCCGATAAAACTGAACATGTCTTTAGTTCCACTCACTGGACATTTCACTGAACATGCCAAACGTGTAAGAAGCAGCAAAATATCATTTTGCAGAAAGTATTTTTCTAATGGGCCTGGGTTACTTTATTACATGTTTTGCAATCAAAAGTGAAGTAACTTGATCAGCAAAATCCATTACCAGGGCATTGTAGTTCTCCCATTTTTTTTCAATTATATAGGCAAATTATTTCATTTTAAATTTGGACTTGACCATATAGGCATACAAATAGTTCTTTAAAGTACTATAGAGAAGGTTCATGATTTTCCTAACATGTAACTGGGTTACACTTTATTGTGATAGTCCACTTTAGACATTCTACTAACTATAAGTAACTTTGAAACTACATGTCAACTAATCATGGATTCACAACCACATGTCTACTAACTCTCAGATTTGACTCTTAGGTTAGGTTTAGGGTTAGTCAAATAAGTTGACAAATGCTTGCAAATATTCTTATAGTCAGTATGTTGTGGACCCATCAAAATAAAGTGTTAAAAGATATTAAGCAGACAGTCTACTAGTACTCTAATGACTGCTAGTTGACATGTAGTTGCAAAGTTACTTACTGTTAGTAGGATGTCTAAAGTGGACTATCAAAATAAAGCGTTACCTGTAATTGTAACATCCTCTCATCTTCCAGGTGTCCACGCACGAGGACAAGACTTAACAGCCGGAGTTCCTGAACCCATGTCTCAAGGAGATCCAAGTACCATTCCTTCATACTCCTTCAAAACTGTCACTGATTGTGAGACTATTATTCACTTCCTCTCATGGCTCTCATTTTATTCTCATCTTGTCTTTGTAGACTGTAAAGTTGATATTGCATTCCTCATGGATGGCAGCTGGAGCATTGGGAAACGCCGTTTTAAGATTCAGAAAGACTTCCTTGTGGAGGTTTCTCAGGTCATTAATGTGGGTGTAGCTGGAGCCATGATGGGCATCATTCAATACGGGTAATAATGTGTCCCTGTCCCAGAAAACACTCAAATACTTGAAGTATTGATAAGAATAAGTGAAGGACTATCATATAAAACAATGTCATTAGTATTGGTAGATATTCATAAGTAAAATTGGTTTTAGCATACATACAGTAAATGTTCACTTGGATACTGAAACATACAGTATGAATATACTGACAGTGTCTAAAATGAAAACACATTTACACAAGATCTTCACGTATGCATAAATGTGTATGAATCCTTCAAAGATTGTAAAACTATTGAATTTATGGAACGTACAGCATGGTTTAATTAATATATATTATATTATTCAGTAAACTCAATGATCAATAGAGGCACATTTGTACATCTCTAAGATCAGTGCTGCAGTTACATTGATAATGTGCATTTTAGTGTGTACCCAACAAACCAAAACATACATATACACAGGTAGATCATGCTGATATAACGTACCAACATTTCATTTCTGATCCAGGGATGATCCAGTCACAGAATTCAGTCTAAAACAGTTCTCCAGCTCCAAGGATCTGAAGCCGGCCATCAGCAAAATAGTCCAGAAGGGCGGTCTGTCCAATGTAGGTGAGTGAATAACCCTAGACTATACCCTAAAGGCCAAAGAGCAGAAGTCATCATATGGTTTCACTGAATTTCACCCTGTTTGCACATCTCCGTTTCAAATAAGATCTAAATCTGAGCTGGGAACTGTGGCTAAATTACAGGGCTGGTGCCACTCTGTGGTGTTTTTGTGTAAGCTGACCAAATGCCTGAGGTTTATCCAACCTAGAGATTAGTTTTTCACATTGGTTGTATGGTTTGTGTTATAGAGAGTGTTTCACTTTAATATAACAGTGGAATCCTGTAAATAAATAAAAAAAGCAGCTGCCCTCTCTAGCAGAGCTATAAAGTTAAAGATAGCCCGAGGACACAACATTATCTGCTTTGATGATTCTGGTTGGATGATGTTTAATCAGGACCATAGCCCTTCATCTTCTGTATATGATTTACGCAAACCTGCTTGTTTGGACTCTGAAATCCCTGAGGGCTGCAGTGACCCCAAAAACTATCTGGGCACTAAAGTCATGCGCAATATATTAATTTTAGATAGCAAAATATCAAAGCAAGTGTCATGAATTGTAGAGAAAGATGATACACCTTTCTACACATTTCAATGCTTAAACTGGAATGTTAAAACAATAGATCTAGGGCTAAAAATATAGACATTTGGTTGTGGTAAATGTAACAAGCTTGGAGACCTAGGGGAGAACTGACTTTCATGCATCCACTAAAAATCATTGAAACACTGGCTGATTGAAATACATTAAGCATAAATGATAGTGAAAAGTGAAATTAGTAAAGAGAAACTCTCCTGCTCCATTTGAGACAGAGATACAGACACTTGATCTAAAAGCTGGAAGATACTACATGACTTTTTAAAACACTAGGCATCATACATTTGCTGGCTTTATAAATGGCTAGAGAGGAAAGAACTGAAAATCACCCTAAACAGTCTATCAATCTATCATATACTATGTCATTTTACCTGAAATCAGTCAACTTCAACTGACCAAAATCTGCAGACTGGCTCCAGATCTCAGCACTGACTCGTCCAGACTGCAAAATGGGGCAGAAATCTGGGCAAAAGTCATGTAGAGTTTAGCAAACTCAGAATGTTTTAGTTTAGCTTTTAGGTGTGCCTTACATTCCCCAGTACTTTTTAAGGTCCATTTAATGTAGCATTTGTATAAGTATGACAATTTGAGCAATCAATTACAAGTGGTGGAAACAAAGATAAAGAGATGTTTTGCCAGTTTTATTAACTGCTGCATTGATAGTTTTCAGCAGTAGCGTGCTGCACTCTTGCCTTTTCCTGAAGTCCTGGAAGCATTTAAGGAAAGCATTTCAGGGCAGAGACTTGACCCGCAACAGTGCTGCAATTGAGAAACAGTAGAGAGTGTTCATAGGGAGGAAGGCTGATGGAACTGAAGCTGTTTTGTACTTTTTCTGACTCTGTGGCCCTTTAAGGAAAGGCCCTCTCCTACATCAACAAGCATTTCTTCAGTGATGCTAATGGGAACAGAGGTGGGGCGCCCAACGTGGCTGTGGTCCTGGTGGACGGCTGGCCCACTGACAAAGTGGAGGAGGCCTCACGTCTGGCCAGAGAGTCAGGCATCAACATCTTCTTTGTCACCATCGAGGGCCCAGATGAGAATGAAAAACAGAATGTGGTGGAGACCAACTTTGTTGACAAGGTATTAATATTGAGTAAAGTGAGGTGTACAGTTTGACACGTATGTCAATGTCATGGCAAACGAACGCAATTGAGGGAATCAGAGAGAACTTTATTTCTTGTTTTGGTCTGTAGGCTGTGTGCAGAAGCAATGGCTACTTCTCGCTCTCTATCACGAGCTGGTTCGCGTTGCGCAAAACCGTACAGCCTCTGGTGAAGAGTGTGTGCGACACAGACCGCCTGGTGTGCAGTAAGACCTGCCTTAACGCCAACGACATTGCCTTCGTCATCGACGGCTCCAGCAGCGTGGGAACCGGAAACTTCCGCACCGTGCTCCAGTTCGTCGCAAACGTGACGCAGGAATTTGAGATCTCGGACACGGATACGCGTGTAGGAATTGTACAGTACACGTACGAACAGAGGCTTGAGTTCGCTTTCGGACAACACGACAACAAAGCTGATCTGCTGAACGCTATCAAGCGTATAAACTACTGGAGCGGAGGCACCAGCACAGGAGCCGCCATCACATTTGCTGCAGATCAACTGTTCAGCAAATCCAAACCCAACAAGCGCAAGATCATGATTGTCATCACGGACGGACGCTCCTACGATGACGTGCGGACCCCGGCGCTGGCGGTACATCGTAAAGGTGAGTGTGGCGCAATGCTGTAGGTCCCTGGGCCAGCACCCGTGGTTGTTTCTGGAACAGTCAGTCAGTACGTTTACATGGACAACAATATTCCGATTTTAACACGATTAAGACAAAACTCTGATAAAGAATCTACCATGTAAACAGAGATTTTTTTTCTATAATTAGATTACTGATGTCCATGTAAACGTAGTCAGTGACTGCTTTATAGGAATGTTGTTCCAGGATCAGCCAGAGATGTAGGTCCAGAAACATGGGTAAATCACATTAAACAGCAGTCAGGGCCATAGCTAGAAATTCGGGGCCCTACTTAAAGGTGCCATAGAATGGAAAACTGTATTTACCTTGGCATAGTTGAATAATAACAGTTCTGTGCATGGAAATTACATACCGTGAGCCTCAAACACCATTGTTTCCTCCTTCTTATGTAAATCTTGTGCATGCAAAAGACCACTGAAAAACAGGCGAATCAGAACATAACACCGACTGTGACGTTACAGTCGGGATCACTAATAGTTACGCCCCAAACATTTGCATATACCCGCCCATGTTCTATGCCAGCCGCACCTGCACAGCCGGATCATCAGAAGTTCCTCAGGTATTGTGAAGAAACAAGCGAGGATAATAACGAAAATGGCAGATCATGGAAATAAATGTTATGTTCCAGCCTGTGCAGGGATGGGTTGGTGTCTGTATTCAGAAAGGCACGGAAAGCAAATAACGCGTTCTAATAAAATAACACGAGCCACTAAAGGGACATGTTAGCTGCTTGCTAGCGGTAGCCTGTTACATTACAGTACATAAGATTTCACTTAACACATAAACAGTGTAAGGAGGGATGACTGAGGATGATGGCGAATGATTTACAGATCCTGAGCACCACTGACAAGCATCTGATCTTGTAAAATGTGTGGTAAGTACTGCCGCTGTAGTTTACACAGCGCACGTGCGATCGCAAATCTCCAAAGTGAAAGTAAAACGCGATTGTGCATTCGAAAGCAGTTGCAATGCTCCCTGATGTCCGCATTTTATATACAGTATAATTACCCAATGATATAACTGCGAGAGAAAGTATTGAAATATATATTTTCCCTATATATTTCAACATTGAGCCGCACTGCGAAACAGCCAATCAGAGCAGAGCTCAACATTATTATTCATGACCCTTCCAAATAAGGTAATAACAGACCCTTTCATTCTAGGGACAAATCCTAAATGGACATGTAAAACCGTTTCTGGAGATTGTTTGCCGTTACCTAAGCCACATACCTTCTATGTAGATATCAGAGAACAATTTAAAATATTGTATCAATGCATTCTATGGCACCTTTAAATGTTGCTGAATGATAAAAGTACCTATTTTAGAGGATGCATTTAGAGTGTCTTTAGAGTGACTTCCAGACCAGCACTGCCTACATTTTTTAAAGTATTGTACTCTCCCATATCTCATGCACCAGGTGTGATCGCGTACTCCATTGGTATAGCCTGGGCAGCACAGGACGAGCTGGAATACATCGCCACCGACCCCGACAGAGACCACTCTTTCTTTGTGGATGAGTTTGACAACCTCTACAAGTATGTACCAAAGATTATTCACAACATCTGCAATGAGTTCAACTCCCAACCACGTAACTGAGCCAGGCCTACCGATGGAAATTGTGGAATATCACCCAAAATCCAAGGAGTAAGTGCATTACCACACAGTTAGAAATGCAGTGTTTTAGCATAAATTTAGCATACTGTAGTTAGAAGCCTTACTTTCTGGATGAAAAGCTTAGAGGACGGCAGCATGTTTCCAGATTTGATTTTTTGCAATTTAAACAAAATACAATGTGGAAATGGTAAAGATGGCAGTGGATGTGTGTTTGGTGATTTTGGATTAACGTGTGATGGACTTCACAGTGTTACAGATTTTCTGGCGTGCACATCCACAGAGGTATAAGAGAAAATACTTGCTTACAGTTTTTGCATAGATGGTTTCTGTTATAGACTATTTATATTTTACATGCTAAACACAAGAATATGAAACATTTTATAAATTAACAATAATATCTTTGTTCATATGGAAAGCTTATAGCTAGTTGTCTTACAGAGAATACAACTACATTTAAAGAAAAATGGCAATATTTCAAAAGCTCATGTTGTGTGGTTTCTCCTAACCATTCTAACGGAATGGTTTCTTTTTCTTGTCAGTTTAAATTCATATAATGTAATTTTTGTATTTGTATATATAAAAATGCTTGTATTTTTGTCAACTGATCAAATATTTTAATGCCGTTTTTAATAAAATGATTATTAAAAACCAGCAAATTCACGGTTTTGGAGTGATATGTACACTGTCTGGGAGAAAATATCTTTTATTATATAATTAATGTGTCTTGCCGTAGCACACAAGTTAATTTTTGGTTAGTTTTTTTACATTTCAGGCACACAGGACAATTAGATTTTATATGCTGAGATTTATGAAAAAATAAAAAACAGTAATGTTAGTGCCGTATTAATGCCTGAAATATGCCATGCTATTGAGAATAAAATAGAACACTGGTCAGAGGAATCTGTGGATGAGACAGTCCTCTTGTGGCTTTATGGTGAACTGCTTCTTCTCTGATCAGACCCCTAGGGCTGGATATATGCAAAGGCATTCTAGGCACATGCTTTATGCTTGTGTGTCCACAGTGGCCCTGTATTATTCATGTAGTACCATTTGATATTTGCATCATCATTTAATGAAGCATTTTATAGAAAGCAACAAACTTGCAATTAAATCAGTGGTGATATTAAATTAATTATTCGATAACAGTTATTGATGCCACATAATTAGATTTCAATATACATCTGTGTTGTCCATCAAAGCCTCTTGTAAAAGAGTTTGTACAGCTTATAGCCTCTTTTAACCTTAAGCAATCAGTATCCGGTCCCACACATAAGCTAGGGCACACACTTGATCTTGTTTTATCATCAGGCTTCCCCATTAAAGACATCTACGTATGTAAGAGATGCTGGTTTGTCTGATCATTGGCCAGTTGTGTTTGACGGTGAGATTTTTTATTTGTTGCAGCTCTGTTTACCAGCCATTTACTTTCCTTGCTCGCCCCTTAAATTCATCTACCGCTACGCATTTTAAAGATTTGTTTTTAGCTTCTGCAGCTGGCAGTATTATTTTGGCATCACAAGGCTTGGATGTTGAGGGTATGGTTATTGATTTTAATGCTTCTTGTACAGTTGCCCCTCTCAAAGTTAAGAAAACCTAACTAAATAAGCAGCTCTGGCTCAATGAAGATCTTTAAGGAAAAAATGTAGAAGGGCAGAAGGAAAATGGAAACGGGACAAACTGCAAATTTCTAATCAACTTTTGCAAACTAGTCTGGCTCAATACCAGGAAGCTGTCTCTTTGCAAAGGGACAACTATTTTTCTACTTTGATTGCAAAAAAATCTTTATAATTATAATTTGCAGATTAGTTCTTCTAGTCTGTCTGCTTTTCAGACTATATCTCACTCTGATTTGTCGGCTGAGATTTCCTATATGAAATTAACCACCTGTTCTCTCAATACTATTCCTGCTACCCTATTTAAAGGTTAGTTCACCCAAAAATGAAAATTAGGCTGTGTTTTACTCACCCTCAAAGCATCCTAGGTGACTTTCTTCTTTCAGACGAATCCAATCGGAGTTATATTAAAAATTGTCCTGGCCCCTCCAAGCCTTTCAATGGGGGTAAGCGGGTGTTGGTTGTCAACAGGTCAGAAGACGTGAAATAAAGTGCATGCATAAATATGCGTGCATATTTCGAATGAAATAAACAAAAAGTGTGCACGCGCGCAGCGCATACATCCTGCGTCATCCACCTGAACGTCTTCCACATACCACAGTCAACGGAAGTGAGAAAAAAAGTGTTTATTACGTTTGAAATATGGATATTTATCTTACAAAAATGCATGGATTCGCTACAGGAGGCCTTTATTCACCCCCCGGAGCCGTGTGAGGGACGTTTTATTACGGATGCACGCACTTTATTTCACGTCTTCTGAACTGTTGTCAACCAACTCCCGCTTACCCCCATTGAAAGGCTTGGAGAGATTGAAACCCCTGATGTCACATGGGTTATTTTACCGATCTCCTTGCTACGATTCTGGACTTTGATTGTGTAAGGACCCTTGCTGTCTATGGGAGGGGTCAGAGAGCTGTCAGATTCCATCAAAAATATATTCATTTGTGTTCTGAAGATGAACGGAGGTCTTACATGTTTGGAACAACATGAAGGTGAGTAATAAATGACACAATTTTAATTTTTGGGTGAACTATCCTTTTAAGAACAGTTAGGTAGTGATGTTACGTTCTGTGCGGATGATCTCCTTGCTACGATTCTGGACTTTGATTGTGTAAGGACCCTTGCTGTCTATGGGAGGGGTCAGATTCCATCAAAAATATATTCATTTGTGTTCTGAAGATGAACGGAGGTCTTACATGTTTGGAACAACATGAAGGTGAGTAATAAATGACACAATTTTAATTTTTGGGTGAACTATCCTTTTAAGAACAGTTAGGTAGTGATGTTACGTTCTGTGCCGAGGCTTCGGGCCGTGTTTCGAGAAATCCTGGCAGATTTCAGTGAAGCACGTATCGAGGCTTGTATCGCTTTAGAGCAATGACGTCATTGATGACGTCCGAAGCCTCACTTGGCCTGACTGGTTCAGGAAGCGGTTCGAATCTTGTAAATGCGCAGTCCTCTGCCCTGTTAAACCCAGCCACTTTCCAGTTTTAGACTAATAATATTGCCCCTCCTGCCTATTGTGAGCAAAGACTTGACTTACACACATTTGATAGCCCCATTCATTTCAAGCTAATACGTTTATTACACAGTTATGTTATATTATGTTAAACAATCATTATATACCACTAGAAAATACACATTCATATAAATAGATTAGTCTATGTGGAAATTGATTTTTTTCTTCACCATTATTTCTAAACCTTCACTGCGCAAAATTCAGTGTATCATCATCGATCACATCAGGTCATCTGTAATGTATCTGCTTGTTTTACACTCTTTGGCCACCTGGTGGTATTGTGAGCAAATGAAGCCTTGAGAAATTAACCCTTTTGCAAACCACTTGGCTGAAAAGCTTCAAAGTTTCATAAGGCTTCATCATGTCATCACTACAGTTAGGTGTACTCAAATATGCTATTTTGGGAAAATTCACTTTTACAAGTTGTTTGAACTGAAATGTGTGTTGGCAGTGTGTGTACACAACCACCCTATAATGATAAAAATCCAGCCAGTGCTTTTTTAATCTTCATAAATAATTAGCTCTTTCTCAGATCAAGCTGTTCACAGATTCTTGGCAGTGTGATATACTTTTGGCAGGCCCCTCCCACGATTGTTGATTGACACTGGTGTTTTACCTTAGCTCCGCCCTGAATGAGCTGTGAACAGTCCGCCATTGTGTCGATGCCGGAGCAGGAGTAGACAAGAATGTCTCTTTGCAAATCGCCTTTCCTAATAATGTGCTAGTTAGCAAGTTCCACGATGAATATGCCTAACGTTAACAGTCTCAGAGAACTGCTGCTCAGCCCACGGAGGAGAGGGGCGGGGTGAGCAGAGCTCATTAGCATTTAAAGGGACATGCACCGAAACGGGACCCTGTGAACAGAGCTGTTTTTGACAAGGTAAAAAGGGTGTTGTTTTACACTACCATTAAGAAATTTTAACCAAAGTATGCCGTAGGCTTTTCATGAAGACCCTAAAGAATCATACCAACTTGTGGAAATGGGCATCTGATGTCCCCTTTAAGAAGTACTAAAAAATAATTTTTTGTATATTAAGTACAAGATTAGTGTGTGAAAATAGAGCACTTTAAGTACATTATGGAAGTGTTTTTTTTTCCTCCTGGGCACTTTGGGCTGGGACGATGTGTCCTTTCTGGAGGAGGCAGAGAGCTGGCTGCTGGAGAAGTTGGAGTTAATAGTGGAGTCATCCTCAATGACCCACACGGTGAGGGATAATAAGCACATCCACAAGATATAGTTGATGAACTCAATGAAGGGAAAATAATCCTTCCTCAACAGCAGCATCTGTCCAACAATGTCATCCATCCTGCTCCAGAAGAGTCTCATTGTCCCAGCGTGCCTCGTGGTAATACTCCAGGAACTCCTCCACATAATCCTCCAGTGACCGGCTGTTGTGTCAAAAACAGTCCTTAAAATACTCATTGTGTTGGGTAGGTTCTTCTGTCACATGTATGGTGGCCGACACAATATACATGATGCAGAATTTTAAACAAAGATACTTTAATAAACAGTAAGAGCATTTAACCAAGAGAATACACAAAGAATAATCACAGTAACTCACAGCATAACCATGAACCAGGCTTTTATAGACAGAACTAATGAGAAACAGCTGTTGACAATCAGTGATGAAACCAAGCAGAGGATGATGGGAAATGAAGTCCAAGACTGAGTGGCAAAGCTATGGGATGGAGTGGTGATCGTGACAGTAACCAAGGCAACAAACAAGGAGAATAGGAACTAAACTGAAATGTAGTGGTGACCTGATCGACTCTGAGCCTTCCCAGCAGCTTCTCTACTGTCAAATGTTCACTCACACTGGTCACAAATGTGAGTGAGAAAATCATAAAACGGGAAGTACTCTTTGTGAAGTCCACTCAGAGGTAAAAATGTATGTTAAGGATATAAATCTGTTATAAATAAATGTTCTAAATTGTTATTAAATCTGATGTAATCACATAATTATTCATTATTCACAGCTGATTCATTTCTTTTCACATCAGCAGCCAATAAACTTGCTGTTCAACATTTAAATAGTTTTTGGATAGTGCTGCTGTAGCAGTTGCAGCATGCTTCAGAAAGCATCTGAAATCAACATCTAAGATAAGTGAACACTCTTAGTCCATTTGACTTTGCATATTGTATGGTCTGCCTTCATTTCTAAATGAGCAACCATAAGCAATCATTAAATTAAGTGTCATGTTTAACAATCTTGCATTTGTATGCAGGAGTGAAATACTAAGCAGTAGCATCTTCGCAACTGTGTTTATACAGCTGCAGCAATAAGCAGTCTAGCATATATAATTGTGAGGACACGCTGACAAGTTATGGACATGAGAACCCTGGGGGTGTCGATTCACAAGGTGGTCAAAAAAAATGAAGCTTGAGTGATGAAATGGAATTCAAGCGTAGTTCAGGCAGACCACTAATCGCCACCTGCTCAGCTGATCAATTACTCCACCTACTCCAAATCATCAACTGCATTTAAGACCGTTCAAACGCATGCTCCTCAGTCACAGACATTTGCACTTCGTCATGTGATTAATAAAAATAATTGTTCTTACCTTTCTTTCCATGGCAATGGCTTGTTCTGAGACTGAAGATCAGGCCATCTTCGAGAATACACAAAGAATAATCACAGTAACTCACAGCATAACCATGAACCAGGCTTTTATAGACAGAACTAATGAGAAACAGCTGTTGACAATCAGTGATGAAACCAAGCAGAGGATGATGGGAAATGAAGTCCAAGACAAAGCTATGGGATGGAGTGGTGATCGTGACAGTAACCAAGGCAACAAACAAGGAGAACAGGAGCTAAACTGAAATGTAGTGGTGACCTGATCGACTCTGAGCCTTCCCAGCAGCTTCTCTACTGTCAAATGTTCACTCACACTGGTCACAAATGTGAGTGAGAAAATCATAAAACGGGAAGTACTCTTTGTGAAGTCCACTCAGAGGTAAAAATGTATGTTAAGGATATAAATCTGTTATAAATAAATGTTCTAAATTGTTATTAAATCTGATGTAATCACATAATTATTCATTATTCACAGCTGATTCATTTCTTTTCACATCAGCAGCCAATAAACTTGCTGTTCAACATTTAAATAGTTTCTGGATAGTGCTGCTGTAGCAGTTGCAGCATGCTTCAGAAAGCATCTGAAATCAACATCTAAGATAAGTGAACACTCTTAGTCCATTTCATTTTGCATATTGTATGGTCTGCCTTCATTTCTAAATGAGCAACCATAAGCAATCATTAAATTAAGTGTCATGTTTAACAATCTTCCATTTGTATGCAGGAGTGAAATACTAAGCAGTAGCATCTTCGCAACTGTGTTTATACAGCTGCAGCAATAAGCAGTCTAGCATATATAATTGTGAGGACACGCTGACAAGTTATGGACATGAGAACCCTGGGGGTGTCGATTCACAAGGTGGTCAAAAAAAATGAAGCTTGAGTGATGAAATGGAATTCAAGCGTAGTTCAGGCAGACCACTAATCGCCACCTGCTCAGCTGATCAATTACTCCACCTACTCCAAATCATCAACTGCATTTAACACCGTTCAAACGCATGCTCCTCAGTCACAGACATTTGCACTTCGTCATGTGATTAATAAAAATAATTGTTCTTACCTTTCTTTCCATGGCAATGGCTTGTTCTGAGACTGAAGATCAGGCCATCTTCTCCGCAGAGATGTCAGAGTAAACTCAATCCAACCACATTGACATCGACGAATTACCCATAGGAGTCCGACCAGCTCCAAGACGAAGCTCCAGATCAGCTTCATCTATCTTCAACTGGCCTCTCGAGAAAATTCTGCCTGCACAATATAAAATGAATATCCAGACTCCACTGCATTCTAGCCACAAGGACCTCTTCTAAACCTTCATAGAAACTGCTCAGGAACAAGAGAGCATTCCACAATCAGAAGCCTTCACTCCACGGCCTTCCGGATGGAAAGCTACTCCAAAAAGGAAGCATTCATCAGTCGAGCATCTCTCTCCGTGCACCTCCAAACAAACAAAGTCTTCAGCATCTCATCTGCTGCCTCTGCCTTACGATCCAATCCTCTCAGCCTTGTCCTCAATTCAAAACGCTATATCTAACATGGATGGAAGACTACAATCCCTCGAAAACCAGCAAGATGCCACTACTTTATCTTCTATCCCAGACGCTCCACCCACAGGCAGCGCTCGCCAGTACATCCCAAACAAACAAAAACCTAAACTTCTACTAGAGTTCTTCATGTTTGCAGCTACTGTGGTGACATTTCACCCAAAGAGTGTTTGCCCTCGAAGACTCCGTCATTTCAAGAGAAAAGGCCGTGCCATCTACTCCCATCAACACAAGTGAACTCAAAAAAGCTTTAAAAACCCATCCAAACTGGTATTTTGTGAATTACCTGCTAATTGATCTGCTAAAGGTTTTTTTCGCCGGCTTAGCGTCCTTCAGTCTGCTATAATCTGCTGACATCGTAGATAGTCTATTAGCTAAGGAAACAGACAAAGGGTACATGATTGGCCCCTTTCACAAACCCCCTTTTAATGTTTTTCGCATTAACCCTATTGGTATAGCAACACGGAAATATTCAGGTAAAAAAAGCGGCTTATCTATCTTTCTTCCCTCCATTCTAATCATGGAGTTAAAAGCATCAATAGCTTAATTCCATCTGAGCCTTTTTCTTTATACTACACCACTATCCATCATGCTATTCAATTCATTAAAATTGCCAGCGGAGGGGCTTGATTAAGTAAAGCAGATGTAACCAATGCATTTAAAATTATGCCTCTCCACCCATCCCAGTGGCACCTTTTTGGCGTTAGATGGCGCAATAACATGTATTTCGCAGTTAGACTCCCTTTTGTTTGCAAAAGTATCCTGCACATCTTTAACTCTTTATAAGAAGCATTGTGTTAGATTGTATCCAATAATATTAGTGATCGTGTGACACTGCCACATAAGGGACATGTTTTAACTGCTCTGCATGTATCAGAGTTTTAAAGGTTTACATGTTTCCCTGTTCATTTTAGCTGAAAATTGAGTGTTTACTGTTGTCCTTTTGCATTGACACACTATTTTCCTATTTGATACCGTAAAGCTGCTTTGACACACTCTGTATTGTTAAAAGCGCTATACAAATAAAGGTGACTTGACATGAAAAGACATGTTTCAAAGTAGACCACTTTAAAATCTGAATTTATGAACATGTAAATGAGACTCCCAAACTGAACTTAGTAAAGCAGAGTGAGATACATCTGGATCCAGTTAGTTTGTCATATGAACCAGCTGTTATCTTTTGGGAGCTTTTACATTCCATTCCTTTCTTTCTAACAGTTGCCTTAACATCAACTCTCTCACCAATCCGCATGCTTCTTTCTTGCCAAAACATTCTACATTTTTAAAATTGTGTTGAGGAATGGAAGACTACAATCCCTCGAAAACCAGCAAGATGCCACTACTTTATCTTCTATCCCAGACGCTCCACCCACAGGCAGCGCTCGCCAGTACATCCCAAACAAACAAAAACCTAAACTTCTACTAGAGTTCTTCATGTTTGCAGCTACTGTGGTGACATTTCACCCAAAGAGTGTTTGCCCTCGAAGACTCCGTCATTTCAAGAGAAAAGGCCGTGCCATCTACTCCCATCAACACAAGTGAACTCAAAAAAGCTTTAAAAACCCATCCAAACTGGTATTTTGTGAATTACCTGCTAATTGATCTGCTAAAGGTTTTTTCGCCGGCTTAGCGTCCTTCAGTCTGCTATAATCTGCTGACATCGTAGATAGTCTATTAGCTAAGGAAACAGACAAAGGGTACATGATCGGCCCCTTTCACAAACCCCCTTTTAATGTTTTTCGCATTAACCCTATTGGTATAGCAACACGGAAATATTCAGGTAAAAAAAGCGGCTTATCTATCTTTCTTCCCTCCATTCTAATCATGGAGTTAAAAGCATCAATAGCTTAATTCCATCTGAGCCTTTTTCTTTATACTACACCACTATCCATCATGCTATTCAATTCATTAAAATTGCCAGCGGAGGGGCTTGATTAAGTAAAGCAGATGTAACCAATGCATTTAAAATTATGCCTCTCCACCCATCCCAGTGGCACCTTTTTGGCGTTAGATGGCGCAATAACATGTATTTCGCAGTTAGACTCCCTTTTGTTTGCAAAAGTATCCTGCACATCTTTAACTCTTTATAAGAAGCATTGTGTTAGATTGTATCCAATAATATTAGTGATCGTGTGACACTGCCACATAAGGGACATGTTTTAACTGCTCTGCATGTATCAGAGTTTTAAAGGTTTACATGTTTCCCTGTTCATTTTAGCTGAAAATTGAGTGTTTACTGTTGTCCTTTTGCATTGACACACTATTTTCCTATTTGATACCGTAAAGCTGCTTTGACACACTCTGTATTGTTAAAAGCGCTATACAAATAAAGGTGACTTGACATGAAAAGACATGTTTCAAAGTAGACCACTTTAAAATCTGAATTTATGAACATGTAAATGAGACTCCCAAACTGAACTTAGTAAAGCAGAGTGAGATACATCTGGATCCAGTTAGTTTGTCATATGAACCAGCTGTTATCTTTTGGGAGCTTTTACATTCCATTCCTTTCTTTCTAACAGTTGCCTTAACATCAACTCTCTCACCAATCCGCATGCTTCTTTCTTGCCAAAACATTCTACATTTTTAAAATTGTGTTGAGGAATGCCTTACAGCACTGAGACGTGCTTCATAGTTCTGCTCTGCTCTTTCTTTCTCTTCATGAAGTTGACCATTGTTTCTGTTTTCTGAGCATTTGGCTCAGATTTGACCTCTTTTCCCAAACATCCTGTAGTGGCCGCCCAGTCCTTCCCTCCCACTGTTTTCTTCTCATGTTTCTCTTTCCTGTGTAGTTGCACAACTGCGTTGTTTTCATCTTGGTGGTTCTGTCACAGACACATGCAGGTATTTGACAAGCTTTCATATTGATCTTTTAAGCACTGTTTGATTATTTCCTTGCCCATGAATTGTATGATTGTCACAGTTACAGTTTGCTGAAGTGTAGACTTCTTTTTGAATTGACTGGAAGACAGAAAAAAAGGCTTTGAGATTGGATGCAGTACACAGTCTTGAGGTTTGAAGGTTTTAAGCATTACAATACTTCAGTGCTTTTGCAGCATTAATGACAGACAGATTAGGTGTTCTAGTTAGTGTGTTCTGGGTGGTTAGAACATTGGTAGGCAGGCAGACAATTGCTATGGTGTTATAGGTGGTTACTGGGGCATTAGGGCAAGAGGTAGAGTATAGCTGACTAAGGCAGAAGAATAGGTTTGTCAGGTTATTTTTACGCACATTTACAGAGTCAAAACTGAGACTTGACATTTCAGGACTCCACATTTTTATAGACACATTTTCAGGAACCGTGTGCTGTGAGCAGAAAGACACTGGACAAGTCACATACAGTACATTCACTCTGCTTGTGTGTCCAGTGTGTGCCGAATTCACTGAAACAGAGACATGAGTTGTGTGTCATCTGAAGGTTTTGGATCCAGTCTGTTCAGTGTTCCACAGGAGAAGTTTAAATAGTTTAAGAAGTTTAAATCGTGTCAGCTTCACTCCTTTTTCCAGGCTAATAGCATATTACCATTATTATCTGAAATTTGCCATTTATCCATTGTCCGGTCATGTGTTGAGACTACCCATTCTAGAAAACACTGCCCAAAGCCTTGAACAAAACTGTAATTATAATAGCTTTGACTGTGATTTGTGCTGTAGTGATGGTGGAGGATCAAGCAGCAAGCGTATCAGAGGCCATCACCACCGTGATGGGCGGAAGTAAACCTGTGCACCGCTTCCTCAGAGGACAACCCAAGAGTATCGGAGTGAGACACAGAACACGCCTCCTCATCGCCCAGTCCTTTCAATCACAGACACCACGTTTAGCCAAGATCACTCCGGCTTATTCTTTGCAGTACTACACTCTTCTATAATAGGCATGCAGTTTGATGCTGATGCCATGCAGGGGAAACCATGGCTAGTTTTCACACTTTTACTTGAGTGAATGTGTCTCAGAGGACGTTTAGTTTTCATAGTCACTTTCTGAATAGGTATATGCATCCCCACACACATCGCTTTAACACTTATACAGGGAGAATAAAGGTAGAGCTTCTTATTCTGGTCATTCGAAGACAAGAAAAAGTAAGAAAACAAGCATTTGTGTATTTGTACTTTTGACTCAAAACTTCATAGATATCAGAGAGCGTGTAACAAATAGCCGGTTTTCACTAGGTGTCTCTGCCTAACTGTATTTGTCCATTGGTGTTTCCCTCTCCCCATTAAGCAATATTGTTGATATTGCATATTGATTATTATTGATTTTATGTTTGTCCATTTTCATATATCTTGTGTAAGGTCGTGCTGGTGATGATGGGTATAGGTCTATTCATGTTTGCAATTCCTATGAATGTGCAATCAGATGCACCCATCTCAGCGGATCAGTTCACCCCATTCTGGCTTGGGATCTTGGTATGTTGATTTGCACATCTCTTTTGACTATATTCGGATGTTTTGCGTTGAAAGGTATTTAAGATCTTTAAAGACTTTAAAGAAAACTTCTAAGCCACAATCCATTGATCTACACCTCTATCCTTGAAATCACTGAAAAAACAAAGAATGCATGAAAAATGCACTGTGTCAGTAACCAAATAATTTTAACTCAATTAACAGTATAATTATAACACTGAACTGAGCAGCAGAATTTGGATTCGGACGTGCCTTGATGCCTTCCTGCCTTGGAATGCTGCCTCCGAAGCTTTCGGACGCAGCCTGTGTAGAGCTGTGGCCCTCCAGGAATTGAGTTTGAGACCAAGCAATAGGCTGCATGAAGCTGTGGTTTACAGTGAATTTAGCTAACGTTGTGAAGTGCCTAACAACGCCCCTCAGTTGTTCTAAATTCACTGTAAACCCCGGCTTCACAGGGTTTATTGCTTTTGTAAAACGGTTACCACACAATACATATATTAAAAGCAAATTATATGTTACTTTATTAAGCTTAAATCATTAAATGCCATCCTTCCACTGGAAAAATAGTCCCTGACGGTGACCGTAAACGGCAATAGAATGGTTACATAACATGCCTCATCTGATGGATACTGCAAAATTGAATTTTCGTTATTTTTACTAAATGTATACTAAATGTCTTGGCTTTTTGCAGTTCTTTATCTGTGGCCTTCTATATATACTGTCTGAGCGCAACCCCTCCAAAAAGATGGTAAGTGTCTGTTTAGCCATTGTGTTTCACTGTGTGTGAGCTACTCGTGAACAATTTTGAGAATTCCTGTGTCCTAACTACAACATGTTCTCTGTAGAATGTTTAAATGTGTTTGATATATTGAGATATCTCGATTTGATTGCTCACAGATCACAGCCAGCCTTGCTCTGAGTATCATCTCAGTCATTGGAGTGCTGTCTGCTTTGGTGGAATTCTCCAGAGCAATTGCTGGAATCTATCACACACATTGGGTTGATACATATGACAATTACACAGAGGAGGAGGAAATGTATGCTGAACAACATTATGTGAGGGTTCTTATTCTTATTATTAAATGAAAAACATGGTTATGAGGAATACAAATCAAGAAATGAGGGTGGTAGAGGGGTGTATTTTCAACCAGTGAGATATTATGCATGTGCAGGTTTAATAGATTCAAAATATGTGCCTATACAAACAGAAACTCTCATTTCGTTTTCACAGTTGCCCATGAAAAACATGGAGATAGTGTTCTTCTGTCACAGCTTGATAGGAGGCGTTCTGCTTGTAGTCATGACGTTCTTCGCCAGGGCAGCGCTGCCCTATTTGATACTGTAAAGCTGCTTTGACACACTCTGTATTGTTAAAAGCGCTATACAAGTAAAGGTGACTTGACATGAAAAGACATGTTTCAAAGTAGACCACTTTAAAATCTGAATTTATGAACATGTAAATGAGACTCCCAAACTGAACTTAGTAAAGCAGAGTGAGATACATCTGGATCCAGTTAGTTTGTCATATGAACCAGCTGTTATCTTTTGGGAGCTTTTACATTCCATTCCTTTCTTTCTAACAGTTGCCTTAACATCAACTCTCTCACCAATCCGCATGCTTCTTTCTTGCCAAAACATTCTACATTTTTAAAATTGTGTTGAGGAATGCCTTACAGCACTGAGACGTGCTTCATAGTTCTGCTCTGCTCTTTCTTTCTCTTCATGAAGTTGACCATTGTTTCTGTTTTCTGAGCATTTGGCTCAGATTTGACCTCTTTTCCCAAACATCCTCTAGTGGCCGCCCAGTCCTTCCCTCCCACTGTTTTCTTCTCATGTTTCTCTTTCCTGTGTAGTTGCACAACTGCGTTGTTTTCATCTTGGTGGTTCTGTCACAGACACATGCAGGTATTTGACAAGCTTTCATATTGATCTTTTAAGCACTGTTTGATTATTTCCTTGCCCATGAATTGTATGATTGTCACAGTTACAGTTTGCTGAAGTGTAGACTTCTTTTTGAATTGACTGGAAGACAGAAAAAAAGGCTTTGAGATTGGATGCAGTACACAGTCTTGAGGTTTGAAGGTTTTAAGCATTACAATACTTCAGTGCTTTTGCAGCATTAATGACAGACAGATTAGGTGTTCTAGTTAGTGTGTTCTGGGTGGTTAGAACATTGGTAGGCAGGCAGACAATTGCTATGGTGTTATAGGTGGTTACTGGGGCATTAGGGCAAGAGGTAGAGTATAGCTGACTAAGGCAGAAGAATAGGTTTGTCAGGTTATTTTTACGCACATTTACAGAGTCAGAACTGAGACTTGACATTTCAGGACTCCACATTTTTATAGACACATTTTCAGGAACCGTGTGCTTGTGTGTCCAGTGTGTGCCGAATTCACTGAAACAGAGACATGAGTTGTGTGTCATCTGAAGGTTTTGGATCCAGTCTGTTCAGTAAACTGAGACTTGACATTTCAGGACTCCACATTTTTATAGACACATTTTCAGGAACCGTGTGCTGTGAGCAGAAAGACACTGGACAAGTCACATACAGTACATTCACTCTGCTTGTGTGTCCAGTGTGTGCCGAATTCACTGAAACAGAGACATGAGTTGTGTGTCATCTGAAGGTTTTGGATCCAGTCTGTTCAGTGTTCCACAGGAGAAGTTTAAATAGTTTAAGAAGTTTAAATCGTGTCAGCTTCACTCCTTTTTCCAGGCTAATAGCATATTACCATTATTATCTGAAATTTGCCATTTATCCATTGTCCGGTCATGTGTTGAGACTACCCATTCTAGAAAACACTGCCCAAAGCCTTGAACAAAACTGTAATTATAATAGCTTTGACTGTGATTTGTGCTGTAGTGATGGTGGAGGATCAAGCAGCAAGCGTATCAGAGGCCATCACCACCGTGATGGGCGGAAGTAAACCTGTGCACCGCTTCCTCAGAGGACAACCCAAGAGTATCGGAGTGAGACACAGAACACGCCTCCTCATCGCCCAGTCCTTTCAATCACAGACACCACGTTTAGCCAAGATCACTCCGGCTTATTCTTTGCAGTACTACACTCTTCTATAATAGGCATGCAGTTTGATGCTGATGCCATGCAGGGGAAACCATGGCTAGTTTTCACACTTTTACTTGAGTGAATGTGTCTCAGAGGACGTTTAGTTTTCATAGTCACTTTCTGAATAGGTATATGCATCCCCACACACATCGCTTTAACACTTATACAGGGAGAATAAAGGTAGAGCTTCTTATTCTGGTCATTCGAAGACAAGAAAAAGTAAGAAAACAAGCATTTGTGTATTTGTACTTTTGACTCAAAACTTCATAGATATCAGAGAGCGTGTAACAAATAGCCGGTTTTCACTAGGTGTCTCTGCCTAACTGTATTTGTCCATTGGTGTTTCCCTCTCCCCATTAAGCAATATTGTTGATATTGCATATTGATTATTATTGATTTTATGTTTGTCCATTTTCATATATCTTGTGTAAGGTCGTGCTGGTGATGATGGGTATAGGTCTATTCATGTTTGCAATTCCTATGAATGTGCAATCAGATGCACCCATCTCAGCGGATCAGTTCACCCCATTCTGGCTTGGGATCTTGGTATGTTGATTTGCACATCTCTTTTGACTATATTCGGATGTTTTGCGTTGAAAGGTATTTAAGATCTTTAAAGACTTTAAAGAAAACTTCTAAGCCACAATCCATTGATCTACACCTCTATCCTTGAAATCACTGAAAAAACAAAGAATGCATGAAAAATGCACTGTGTCAGTAACCAAATAATTTTAACTCAATTAACAGTATAATTATAACACTGAACTGAGCAGCAGAATTTGGATTCGGACGTGCCTTGATGCCTTCCTGCCTTGGAATGCTGCCTCCGAAGCTTTCGGACGCAGCCTGTGTAGAGCTGTGGCCCTCCAGGAATTGAGTTTGAGACCAAGCAATAGGCTGCATGAAGCTGTGGTTTACAGTGAATTTAGCTAACGTTGTGAAGTGCCTAACAACGCCCCTCAGTTGTTCTAAATTCACTGTAAACCCCGGCTTCACAGGGTTTATTGCTTTTGTAAAACGGTTACCACACAATACATATATTAAAAGCAAATTATATGTTACTTTATTAAGCTTAAATCATTAAATGCCATCCTTCCACTGGAAAAATAGTCCCTGACGGTGACCGTAAACGGCAATAGAATGGTTACATAACATGCCTCATCTGATGGATACTGCAAAATTGAATTTTCGTTATTTTTACTAAATGTATACTAAATGTCTTGGCTTTTTGCAGTTCTTTATCTGTGGCCTTCTATATATACTGTCTGAGCGCAACCCCTCCAAAAAGATGGTAAGTGTCCGTTTAGCCATTGTGTTTCACTGTGTGTGAGCTACTCGTGAACAATTTTGAGAATTCCTGTGTCCTAACTACAACATGTTCTCTGTAGAATGTTTAAATGTGTTTGATATATTGAGATATCTCGATTTGATTGCTCACAGATCACAGCCAGCCTTGCTCTGAGTATCATCTCAGTCATTGGAGTGCTGTCTGCTTTGGTGGAATTCTCCAGAGCAATTGCTGGAATCTATCACACACATTGGGTTGATACGTATGACAATTACACAGAGGAGGAGGAAATGTATGCTGAACAACATTATGTGAGGGTTCTTATTCTTATTATTAAATGAAAAACATGGTTATGAGGAATACAAATCAAGAAATGAGGGTGGTAGAGGGGTGTATTTTCAACCAGTGAGATATTATGCATGTGCAGGTTTAATAGATTCAAAATATGTGCCTATACAAACAGAAACTCTCATTTCGTTTTCACAGTTGCCCATGAAAAACATGGAGATAGTGTTCTTCTGTCACAGCTTGATAGGAGGCGTTCTGCTTGTAGTCATGACGTTCTTCGCCAGGGCAGCGCTGCAATCCAGCAGGACTCAGGTAATCTCATCTCACACAGCCTTCCTCCTGTGAAAGCACCACAGGCTCTCTGGTTGGGCTGGAGGTCTTTTCTGATTGGGTTATTATAGCAGGAGAAAAAGGAAGTCATGCTAAATTCAAATAATGAAAATTAACAATATTGTGCATTTAACATTTTAACGTTCATTCACAGATTGTGTTAACATGTCAAATGTAAAGTGTATACCAACATTCATTTCATTTATAATATAATATATGACTCTAGAATGCTTGAATCATAGCATTCATCGCTTAAATATGTCTGGGGGGAAACCTTTGTTTCATACATAGTTGTGCTCATGTTCTGTCTCTCTTTGGTTTCTACAAGTAAGCTAACAAAATAATTTAAAGGCAAATCGGTATTTCATGATTTATTTTAGTTTTTTTTTTAGTAAGTAGTCATGTAACGAATAAGATAATGTATCCCTGATCACCCTGCTGGGTTTATTTTGCGATCATTGACTGTAAATGTTCCTCATTTGTAATAGTGAAGGCAGAATGTTCATGGATGATTTCCTCGTCTCCGCAGGCTGTTGTTGTAATGCGGGACCTGCCGTCAGCAGAGTGAACGAACCAAAATCATCTGAACATTGTGTATGTGAAGAGGAGCTGACAGCACATCTGTGGCAGCACATTATAATAGTTCACTTATAATCAACTGTTTAAACTGATCTTTAAAACGGCATATATACAGTACATATGCTAACAAAAGTGTTTTGTACTGAAACCTAAAATAAAAACAGCATTCAGAGCGTATTGACATTTACTATTTGTACACTTATCTTTGAGCTAGCTTTATTATTTTATTATTACTGTGCATTAATACTTTTGTCAATGATGGTTATACTACTATAATACTTTATGGCAGTCCTTTTTGTAATAAATATTCTTTACAATGCAGGCATAAGCACATCTCAAATTTCTGTTAAAGAGTGCTTCATCTGGAAAGCATCTGTTATGTACAAACATCTGATAAACATCTAAAATCATTAACACTTTCTAAACTTCTGACACGAACCGTTTTAGACACATTGCAAACACTGTAAATACTCTATCTTCTAGATGAAAACCCTCATATAAAAGAGACGTCTGTGAGATGAATGTGTGATGTTTGAGTTTATTTCTAAACCAATTATCATACTGGAAGTCTTTATTTTTTCAGAAATCCCTGAACAATCTCTGCTAAATAATACTATCTAGTAACACTGTAACAGAAATAATGAAATCTAAAGATTTACTAATGTTACTAAAACAAACATAACTGTGTGCTAAAACTGTCAGACTCTGTTCCGTGTTTTGTGTTTTGCTCCCCACGTGTTCCATGACCCAGTTTTCCCTCATGTGCAATTATTGTTTCATTAGTTCCAGGTGT